CAATGTCAATCCGATTGCAAGACGAAGGATAACGTGACAGTCAGTGTGCTCACGGCTGTGCAGTACCGAATAATCACGGACATGGTGAAGGTTGCCATCTTCGAGATTTCCACGCCGCATGCTCACATCAAAGCCGAGGTTGATAGTGTGTTGAGGTCCACCCTTCCGACGATGAGCTTGGATGAGAGCTACGAGGCGAAGGAGCACATGGTTGCAAACATCCTAGAAACAGTGCGGCAGGCCATGGGCCCGTATGGCTATGAGATCATCAATGTTCTCATAACCGACATCCAACCAGAGCCTTCTGTTCAGCATGCCATGAATGAGATCAACGCAGCACGACGCCAACGCGAGGCTGCTTTCGAGAAAGGTGAAGCTGAAAAACTCCTGAAGATCAAAGCTGCAGAGGCAGATGCCGAATCCAAACGTCTTTCTGGAGTGGGCATGGCCAGCATGCGAGCAGCCATGGCGCAAGGCTTCCAGGACTCGATGAGATTCATGACCGACAGCGGCGTGTCTGGTAAGGAGGCGATGCACATGATGATCATGACGCAGTATTTGGACACGCTGAAGGAATTTGCCGGAAAGCACGGTTCCATTCTTGTGCCGCACGGCCCCTCGGCAGTCCGAGAACTTGAATCCCAGGTCGGCAGAGTCGGAGACTCTTCTTCTGCAGTGTCTCAGATGAAGGGCCAGCCCAAGCTTTGTTGGGCCGAATCCTGATTCCCTGGACACCCCAGTTTCACAGCAGCTGTGCTGAGCCAAAACTGCTCTGCTAACAGCAAGTGCTGGTCGGAGGGAGTGGTGTTAGGAAAAGTGCGATCAGAGCATCAAGCATGTCGATTGGGGCAGTTTTAGTGCAGGAAGTGACATGATGTCTGAGATGTGCTTGCTCATGCTGAGACGAGAATGAGTGCCCTTTCGAGTTGTGGACGATTTTTTTGTTAATGTTTCATTGGGATTGGCTTACTCCAGACCAGACCCATGCTGCGGATTCAGGCAGAATGCAATTGAGACTTTGCCCCTTGTGGTACCAAGGAATGGGCTATTTGTCAAACCCTTTTAAGCGACATGTTTGCCGTTGCCAGCGTCGAGACGCGTATGTTGCCTCGCCAATCTTGGGAAGTCGGATAGCGACCTTTAGGGAGGTATCTAAGGGGCTTTGTGTGCACGGGCTCGTGTTGGGATTTCGAAACGACCTCTTGCTCCGCGATCCGACGCTCCTCGTCCACCGCCTTCTGACAGCTTGCCGAGATCTTCACGGGGCACGAGCTTCCCGAGCCGATCGTGTTTGGGTGAATGTCTTGCGGGGTGATGCACAGTTTTGTCTCCGACCATGTGCCCAATGTTGGGTTTTTGCAGTTTTCGGCCTCGGTCCCGAGCATCTCGGCGGCTGAGCTTCCTTGTTGGTTTGTGGCCAGAAGTCCGGGCATTTGATGGCTGCCCGTTTTCAAGAGGTTGAGTTTGCAGTGATGTTTCCATGAGAGGGCGGGAGGACAGGCACTCACGCGCGCCTGTAACTTCGTGCGTTTTTGCGCTGTTGTCAGACGAGCCGACATGTGAGCAACCCATGTGTCAAGAAGGACGTGTCTTGTTGCATAATTCTTGCTTGGAAGGGACAGAAGCAATTCATAGCAGGACAACAAGCTGTTTGTGGCGCTGTATTTGGGGATTCTCTGTGTTTTTGCATGCTGGTGTTCGATCATGCGGGGCCGGTGCCGAGCTCGTCTTTGCCAGTCTTAGACATTTCCGGCAGGCAGATAGAGCGACCGAGCCTTGTCAGGTCATGGACCGCGTTGCTGCATGCAGTGGCCTTCCAGCTGGTCCCTGGCTAAGCGCAAAATACAAAAGACATCACAAACCGGCATGGGCTCTCATCATCCGCAGTCTGCAGTTTCGCTGGCTCAACGATTCTACAGTCGGCGTTGTCAGGGTGTCAAATACTCCTATCAGGTTTTCTGCCATGTCGCAAATGTTGTTGGCAATCGCGCTCTTTGTGGTTCCAGTGACACCCACGGGTGTCCCAACTGTCGAAATCGCTGTTGGGGCAGCTTGCTTGCCATGAGCGCGGATATTCTGGCGAACTTGTGTGACAGGCAGTGCCATTCGTTGACCAAAACATGCGCAGCTTGAGGTCCATATGCCCATGATCGCGTTCGGCAGTTATCGGGGTTCGTTGACAACCTGCAGCGTGCAAGAGGGCATTCAGCAGTGGCTTCGGCTGGGAGGGTCGCACCCTCAAAGCCACCTGCAGGTTGTTGGCATGTGGGTTTGTGAACCAGACTGGTTGCTTTTTGTGCAGAGGCGTCATGTCGACACTGCACACGATTATGGGACAGAACCGGATGTGGGAGCTGCAATTTCAGCTTCTGGCGTGGCGCGGAAGGACCCAGTTGCTGGGTTTCATGAACTTGGACCATGCCCAAACCCCCGCTGCCGCCCCGCCCCCGCCACCCCCGCCCCCCCGCTGCCCCCACCCTTCTAACCCCCGCCCTTCTCCGGCCCCCCCCCCCCCCTTACTGTAATTAAGCCCTACCCCGCAACCCCTCACCTTGAAATATCTTGAAATGACGTGCTTTACGGGTCTGGCATCAGACGCCCCCCGCTCCCCCCGCTGCCCACCCTTAATCCCTACCCCCCAACCCCCCACCTTGAAATGAAGTGCTTTAAAGGCCAGTGCAGCCACAACATTGCGCATAAAGCACAAATTCGCGCATAAGTACTCAGGGCTTTTCGGCCGTTTCAGGTTCTGGTCCCGTAGTGAAGTGACGGTTGTCGGCCTCAGAGAAAATCCGGCAGGAGATTTTCCTCACAACCAAGATTCCTGGTCCGATTGGTCGAGGAGCAGTCAAAACCATGGTGATGAATGAGACATTGCAGAAGACGCATAGCTAAAGGAAGAAGTTGTTGTGAGTGGCACATGGCATGAGGTTGCCGCAGCAAATCTCGATAAGGTTGGGCGTCGACTACGTCGATTTGGTCCTCATCCATTTTCCATGTGCTGCTTCTCAGCTAGCATGTCGTTGAACCCCACGCAGAATTAGAGCCACAGGCGTTGGAAACCCAGCGATTCGACAAGCAAGCTGTGTTTGGCCGTGCCTCTAAGAACCAATCTGACTTCCCGAACAAGTGCGGACAGAAGAACCAAGCGGAACGTTTGGACACGTGGCACGGACTCAGCGAGCTTCGCGCGATGGGCAAGGTTCGTGCGAACAGCTCTTAGTCTCTCTCAATTTTCGGACAATGTGCACTTTACATCTTTTCAAGTGCTGGCTGTGTGTCTTAGTGTCAAGGATCGGAGTGAGCAACTATGATGCAGAGCAAGTTCAAGAGATAGTGGCTGAGTTCAAGGAGGCACCTGCTGTGAACCAGGCCAGATCAACTTCGTGCAGTAGCAAAAGTCGTCCTATTGCTAGTGTGCGCTGCCGGTTCACGCAGAGGTTCAATGGCATCTTGCTTACCACAACGAGACGCTTCGCACGGCCATGAGCAAGTCTGGTACTACCTTAGAGGCTGTCCGAAGCAGAAGCAACAGCAGCATGAGAGGTGGCAACTAAAATACCAAGGCATCAAGCGGCAAGCCCATCCGTTCTCAGTTTCGCGCTTGTTTTCGTGGAAAGGGCTGACAGCATGCGCAGGCTTGGGCATCACTGGCAGGGCCAACTTCATTCGGCGTGCCTTTTCTGCAAGCAGCCTTTCCGTTGCAGAACAGAACGGATGTGCGATGCAAGAATGAGAGTCTGTCTTGGAAGGCGCCTGCTGTCTCTTTGGGGGACGCACGATTGAAGGCGCTTGCGCAGCGCTACAATGTTAGCAGCGCCCAGGCAGGGGGATGTCGAGACGACCGGAGACATGCCTCATCGTGAGTGAGAGATGGAATGCCCACCTCGTGAGGTTGAGTTGCGTTGGGAAACCCAGAACGGTGTCGTGCCCGTCACAGCTACATGTTCAGAGGATGGTGGTTGTGCTGTTTTGCGGTTTTGGTGGAAGTGAGCCAAAGCCGTGAATGCCGCAACCACTTGTCTCAAAGGAGCATGCGCTGGGTGACCTGGCATCCTTCAACTTCTCGTTGTCAGATGAGGACTTCTTTTGTGAACATGTCGTCTGGGGGATGTTTTCGGACCGTGCGCAATTGCATTCCTGGATAACACGGTGAGGACATCAGCTACCTCAACGCGCTGAAGCCGGCAGACGAGAATCTGATTGTCTGAAGTCGCAAGTCGTCGGTGTAGTTGTCTGCTCCTTTGCAGTGTTAGGCACAGAGGCGGCCTTCGGTACGCTTATACTCTCAGCATCACGTGCAATTGCGACAAAAATTGCGGCAACTCTGCGCGCAAGGGGCATTCATGCCTCGTCAATCTTCCGCCAATGGCCCCATCATTTCCGCTTCCAGGCCACTGCTGGAGACGTTGAAGTTTGCCCTGGTGAGGGCCCTCGTTATGGACTCGCGGGTATTTGGGTTGTAAGACTGCGTGACATCAGCTTGACACCAGGAGACCACAAGTGCAACCACGATGGGACTCATCGTGCTGAAGCCTTAGTCTACAGAGGGAGGAGCACGGAGACTTTGGCATGTTGCAAGCTGGCGCCCAGGTTTGTGCAAAGTTGCTGGATGCAGAGGGCAAGCCGCTGGTCTGGGGAAGCAAACTCAGCAGATCAGAAGTCAGCAGACTGACTGCATTGCAGTGGCGTCTGGCGGGCCACTCCTCCTAGGTCAAGGTGATTTCTGGGAAATCACGCACCAGAAGCGCTTCCAGTGGGATAGCCCTTCTGTCTTGGTTTGGCGGGTGCCTTGCCGACTCATGCACTGAGCTTTTGCCACCGATCTTTCCGCAGCTGTCAATCACACAGCCATCGAACCTTTGGGTCACTGCATGTGAGCAAGCCAGCTAGAGTTGGCCACGGCAATCTGCCCTGCAGGTTGGAGCTTCAAACTGTTTCCAGCCATTCCGCAACAAACAAGAGCTCGGCGAGTGTAGCCAAATTGAGGATGGAAAGCCATGCACGTGCCTGTGGGACCTTCTTCTGGAGTACGGTCATGCACAGAAGCATGGCCTCGCAGCGGGAGAAGGACTGACGAATGATACTATACCGCGTTGCCTAGATGACAGTGGGCAGAGCCAGGCGGACTTACAATGCGCTAACTTAAAGAAGTGTGGATGCTCACATAGATGTTGGTGCTAGCAGCCGCGTTCGGGACTGCGGGTGCCACGTGCAGAAAGACGGCTGCAGGAGTATCAGGATCGGTGTGTGCATGTCTCATTCCAGACGCGGAGGCTAGGGACGGCACCCGCAGGCACATAGCAGTCTGATGGCAGGGGTCGTGCAGGCTTCGATGTGCTCAGCGAAGCTTGGGGATGTCAGCTGGCTGTGGCAGCCTGCGCCTATGCCTTCGACTTACCCTTGAGATCCCTTGAGCATCAGGCTTGCCCTGTAAGTTTGGCCCGTCCCGTGCTTCCCAGGTATTTCGAGGCAGGCGGAAGCCGAAAGCTACAGCATTTGCGTGCTCTGTCTGCGCATTATTCGCATTCTGTGTTTACCACACGTGAAACATCGTGGACCGGATGATGCGTGGAATGGGTGTTGCTTCCCAGCCCAGGCTGGCAAATGACGTGCCTGCTGTGGACTTGGGTGGCTGCAGCTGGTTTCGCCAAGGCCAGCACGTATGCTAGTACCTAATGGACTGCTTGTGGCCTGCTTTTTCTGACATGTGTTATTTGACCTGCTTTGGCCTTGAGGTGAGGATTCTCCACCACCTACAGAAATGGTGGCTGCTGTCCGGCAAGCCTTGGCGTCGCATGGGCTCTTCTCCGCCCGAGGCAGTGGACAGCATCAGCAGTATCAGCATGAGACCGTACGCCAGAGAGACAGTTTTGGTCAGCAGTTGCCAGGTCATGGAGTGCCCCTCCGTGTTGTGCAAAGAGTGCGTTCAGAATCCATGGCTTTCTTCGATCAGCCCTTGGAGATGAAGCAGTGCTGTGCTGTTGGTGCCTCAGTTAAATCAGGCGACAAGGATACAGGGATCGACGAGCACTTCAAAACTAGCTACGGAACATAACGGGAACGGATGGGTCCGATGGGTTTTGAGGTGCACAACATGGAGAGGAACCGTTCCCTGGCTTCAGCGATGCGGTTGAAGTTTTGGAAGGTCTCAGCAAACCGCTCAGCCGCTCAGGTGGCTATGAGATATATCCGCATCACCAGAGGTTCTTGGAGCAGTGGCAGGGCGCATCTGTGCCCCGAGACGCGCACGCGGAGCCGTCGGCCGTCCAAGGCGTTTTGAAATTGCTCCCGGATGCCCCAGCACCCATATGCCACTCCTGTGCTTCAAAGGCGTCATCTGTGAGCGATTCTGCTGTGGGCCGCCGTCCATTTGCGAGGAAGCCCGACACGGTTCTGTGATGTTCGGTGGTAGATATGGGAGCACCTGGTAGCATCTGGTTGCCTTCCGCATGCATCTTCCTGGACGATGCTGAGACAGTGGAAGTGCTCGCAGGTCAAGTCTGACAAGCTGGAAGCAAAGTCCACAGGGCTGGATGCATGGAAGCTGGACGATTTCTACCGCTCTGAGTATGGTACCCTGACGAGAAAAGCCAGAGCTTTCTTGTGAGGCAGTGGCATGATTTGCTTGGCATCATGTGATTTTTTTGTGGAACTGAGGAGAGGTGTTCTTCCCTGAAAATGTTTGGCCATCAGATTGTGATGCACTAAAGCGTGCGATGTTGGAAGCGTATGATGCGTTTGAGAGTTTCTCTGAAGCTGTTCTGCTGTTTCTTAGTTGCACAGCTGTCTTTTTTATCAGTTTGTTGGCCGGAATTTGCTTGCCTCACCAAAACCTCACGTGCAGAGTCGCAAAGGCTGCTTGCGGCAGCATCTGGGGTTCAGCCATCTTCACTACGAAGCCTCCTGTTCGACTCGCAGCGACGAGTGCGCCACTCCAGCATGTTGCAGGCAGGGCACCTGCATGCTGGCTGTATGCTGGCATCTAGCACAAGTGCGGACATAAGAACTGTGCTTGTGGTTGAGCATTTGGGCTGGTGAGGTTTGCAACTACCCTTCCCTGCTTCCACGACGGCTGCGTCCTCCCGAATTGACACCTGGACTGCACACTGCATGCCTGCCCGCCAACTGACCTCGCAGCAAGCACTCCGCGAGGTCCGTGTATCAACTCAGGGCGAAGGCTCACCAGGATTTTGGAGCCTTCACAGTCCTGGCCAGGTGCTTTTTCCAGAGTAACCACGAAGCACTGATGCACGAACCACATCGTCACAAAGCAGCCAAGCCTCATGAAACTCATGAAGGTTGTGAGACCCTTGCGAGGTGTCCCGGCAGTGATTCTGGTCGGGCGAAGTGTGGTCAGAGCGGTGCCCTCGAGGCAGTGGCCTTGAAAACTATATGCAGAGCTTGTGCAGCTTGTCGCAGGATGTCGCCGGTTTGCTTGCTGCTCTTTTTAGGTACGACTACCGACCGGAGCGTGGGCATGTGTGCCAGCAAGAGAAGATGCTCTGACCGTCATGCCCGGAACGTTGATCGAATACTTGACAGCAGGAGGGAGTTCCGGCGAGAGTGTCGGGAGGGGGTTGGGAGGTGCTGTACCTTTCTTCATCTTTCTACTGTAGGACGTTGTCGGGGAGTCATGCACCGCGTCTCGAATCCGCGTCCTGGGCTGGCAGCCGACTCTCGAAGGCTTTCGGTGACCTTTGCCACTGGACCAAATTAAATGTTCAGTAGGCTGCAGCGACGCGGCAGCAACTGTGCAGAGGTGGTAAAGCCAGATTACACAGCTCCAGCGGTGCCCCCAGACAGCAGCCTCGCGGATCCCTCCGTGCCTACCCTTGGAGACTTGTGGCGGGTGGGCTTCTTTGGCTGGAACAAACAGGAGTAGTCAGTGCATTTCCATTTTTTTGTTTTTTCTGTCTCTCTCTCTCTCTCTCTTTTTTCTCTCATCTTGGCGATTGTGAAATGAAGCAATGAAGCTCCGCAGCTCGGGATTGCTTGCGCAGAGGTTGGCAGGAGCGGCAGCGCCTTCTGGGAACAATGTCTCGTGGCGATGCGGTGCAGCAGTTCCGCAGACATCGCCAGGAAAGGCTTCAGTTGGCTTTGTTTTGGGGGCTGCTTCATACGTAATAAGGCTTAAATCTTAGGGCCAAAACAGTTCAGGAGCTTCGGCAGCGCCTACTCTTGCAAGGCGACTAGACGCGGAGATTCGGCTTCGAGAGAAATGGCCGGTCCAGTACCACCCTGGACCAGTCGACGCCCTGATGATCACGCAAGGTACTGCGGAGTCAACGCGCTCGTTGCGGAACTCGGACAACCTCCCAGCACGGACAATCAGTTCTTGCCCCTGCCCATTGCGTTCGCTAGATGAGAGGACGGCCAGCATGAGCCCATGGTCGTGCAAACAACTGGAGCTTCAATGCGTCATGTCTCAAAAGGGTCAATGTCTGCAAGAAGCAAGCAGCTGGAAGGCGATGTCTGCAGCAAAGTAGCTCTGCACTCTGTGTGGCCTCAGTTTCCAATGCCAGATGTGATCCGTGCCAATGGTGGAGACAGCTGGTGTATTTGCATGTGGGCCTGCAGCCAAGCACCCTGCTGCGCTTGCGAAGGAAGTGTTCTTATGCGTTGTCTTGTAGACTGCTAGGCCTTTGCCCGCATGATTGAAGCAGTGGGCTGCTCAAATGTGCACCTGCGTTGCAATGCCACTGACTTGGACTTCGTTCCAACCCCAGTTTCATCCCGCATCATGTGACGTCCATCATGTGTCCGCTGTTGCAGAACGTTTCAGCCCCGCCAGGTCTTGGCCAGTTACCGTGATCGAGGTGTAACAGGCCCGGGCTCATGTCGCCACTCTTGCGAAGGGATCTGCTTGTGCTCTTGCATTCTGCAACATTCTGCAACAAGGTCGGGTTCATGACCTCAAAGATGCACACAGCTGCATGCGCGAGAAGTGCATGGAGGCTGCGGCAGATTGTGCTTCCAACAGACCATGCGAGCAGAGAAGAGCAAGACATGGACTGGAGGTAATAAGACCCGACCCTGGTCATGTGACTTTGCCAGCAGCTGTCTTAGCTTGGCTCGTAGGCATTCTGCAGCAGAGCCGCCGCGCAACATCTCTGTCGAGTGTGATGGTTGTTTTTGCGAGACTTGAGGCAGAGGATCTGGGCTTCGCCGAGCTTTGAAGCTGCACCGAGCCGACCGAGTCAAAAGCGCAGAGGAGAATCCATGAGCAGGTATAGCACTTTCATAGCACCCATAGCTTGGTAGAGCAGATCGCAAAGGAGCTGCATGCAGACTTGCTCAAATCAACAGCTGCCCTTCGTTCGTGTGCCGAAGTTGTGGACCTCCTAGAATCTCGTCGTGCCTTAATGGCGAAATCATGCAGCACCTTCAGCCCAATCTAGACGGCTTTGGTCGGAGCAGACTTTCAGCTCCAGGCGCAGTGCGGCCTGGTTTCGCAGTCACACAACGGGGCGAGTTGGATCAGCAGTCGCAAAATCCATAAAGATAGCACGGTTCACGTGGCAGTGGTGCTCTGGTTTCAGCAACCGAGTACTTGAAAAATGGTCTTGGCTACCAGACGCATTGCCTTTCACGGACTCGCTCCTTTGTGCTTGTCTGGATGTCTTATACGTCGTCTCACCCACAGTTTTCGCAGGTCCCACCTGCACTTTTCATCTGCTCGTCAGACAGAGCGACAATGTGACCACAGGCGGATGCCCTGTTTGTTGTGCCAGTGCTGCTTCTGCGCCCTGTTGTCAGAAAATGCAGTTTCTGGCGCTCGTGGCTCAGCAGTTCCCCAACTTGCAACACACCTCAAGCGACATGTGCAGGATCTTTGGCAGTCTTTCGCTGTGGTCTTGAAGTTAAGCAGCCAGAAACACTCCTGAAATCTGGCCGTTGCCCTCATGATGCCACATGGCGCATGCCAGCGCCGTGAGCTGAGTGCCAATCCCATTGTCGACAGACTGATGCGGTGTGGGCCGTCAGCCCTGCGAATGGGCTTGAGCGCTCATGTTCAGGCTTTGCGGCTTTGCCGGCTGTCAGGTTCCAAGAACCTGGGTGGCCGATCCGTCTGCGCTCTCTGACGTCGATGCCACATACTGTACTCCAAACATGCCAGTTGTACGTGCAAACAGGTTGCTCTTCGTGGCCCCTGCGCATGCTGCCCATAAAGGGTCATGACCTTGGGTTGCACATGCTGCCTGCAGCCTCTTATAAGACTGCTTCGGATCACTCTTTGCAGAATGTACTTAAATGTTTCAGGTTTGTCAACCCGCTGCGCCACTACAATGAGAGTTCTCGCCAAATCGTACGCTGCCTTCAAGCTGGCAGTTGAAGCGTCGAGACCAGGGAAACTCTTGCTGATGCTTGCTGGCAGGGCTTCGTCCTCGACATTGAGGGCAGCGAATCTGCACAGGAGGTGGTCGATGCGGTCGAGGAGATGTGTCTTGATATGTCTTGTATAAGCATGCCCATGCTGCCGAGCATCCAGGAAGACAGGCTATCAACGCTATCAGAGCCACGCGGGGGGAAGTGCAGATATAAGCAAGCAAATCGTTACTGCCTCGGTTGCTCGTGGCTCGAGACCATAGGATCGATTAAGTAGGACAGTGTCAAATCATGCGTTCTAGAAGAGTGTTGCCACGTTGGTAGCGTCTTCCACCACGCAGCACGCCAGCACACAACTCACCGATGATTCTTTTGAGTCAAGCTGCACAACCACAGCCCAAACTTCAGCCAAGTACTTGTCACAGTACATCTGCGAGTGACCGGATCGCAGTCATAGCATCTGAGCGGCTCCACGGTCGGATCGCATTGTGAAGCCGCTTTGCGATGAAAGCAATCTCTTCCAATTGAAGTCCGCCCCTAGGGCCCTCACTCCAGACCAAGGTGCAGCATGTCTTGCCGGCTACGGCCGGCACTTGTGGCATGTGTTCTCGTCTCGGTGCCGCTGCTGCACTGCGAGATCTTGCTGGACCGGCCAGATTCGCAGTACAAGGCGGCCACACATGCCCATGCAAGCTTCAGCTGGCTTCGTGGAAGCATGTGCTGTATGGGGTTCGCAGGGCAATTCATCAAACTGCACGAAGCTATTTGCCGCTTGGTCTGACAGGCCAGATAAGCACTCTCCACATTCTGCAGAGTCTGTGTTCCGTGCTGCCCTGTGTTGATTTCTTTGTTGGGTGACAAAGCAATGTAACAGCTGAGCTGATGCAGGCAACATCTAAAATCACGGGTCAAGAGAGCAGCCCTAGACATTTTTATACTTCCACTTCCGGGCTAGGCTTTCTTGCTGCCAGGCTATGATAACTTCCCATTGGCAGGGCTTACTTTGTGGCAGCGTAGCCATTGAGACTAGGCTCGATCCCTCCGCTTTTGGAACGAACCGGTGCGCTGCAGGTGCGCGCACCTTTCACCTGGTGCGAGGAAGAAACACGGGGATAAACAATGGTCATAGTCGGGGCTTCACGGGGCTTAGAATTGGGGACCCGAGAGTTGTACAAGCAGCTCATGACGCAGAAAGGGCAGAAATAAGTACCAACCCCCTCTGCACACCTGCAAAAGCAAAAAGGGAGACGAACAGAAGCGAAGAGTTGTTTGTTTCTTGTTGTCGTTCTCCGTCTCTTGCTTTCTTCTCCTTGGCGCGTCCACTCCAAGCTGCTCTCAGAGCTGCGTGGCAACAGCCCAAGAAGGGTGTCGCTTGCGTCTCCTTTTTTTGAGGCGCTCCTCTCGAAATTTGGCGTTGAGCAGTTCTCTGCGTTTCCGAGGTTGCGACCCCGCCCTTCGATGCAGGAACCAAGGTCCACGGCCTGAATGCAGGAATTCATCCCAGGACTGTGGCTGAGTTTTCAATGCTCTTGCATGACCGAGTAAATGATGACCTGATGTGCCTTTGCAGTGCAGTGGCCGCAGGAACCAGGACTCAAAAGCAGATATGCTCTCGATACGGGCTATCTATTATGAGCCGCGTCCTGTCGGGTGTCCGGCTCGGCTGAGATTCTGTGACAGGGTAGTTTGGGGAGGTTTGCGGGGGCTGCGTCGCAGCTGCTCCTAAGGTTGAGCCCGGGCCTGGACAATGATCTCTACACTGCGGCTTTCAGCAACATGCATGAGCGCGACTTGTACATCATGCGGCCCCTCGGTGCCTATTTAGCTCGAACCCGAAGGTGTCTCACATGATATAGTTGTTTCGAAGCCCTGTACAGTTCAGCAAGTAGCTCAGTTGGTTGCGCTTGGCGTTACGGTTGTAAGTTGTGTGTTGCATCTCCAGCCAAGGAATATTCTCCATGCGAATGCTGTCAGGATTGCGCCTTGGGACTCGGATCAAAACCATTCTGCCTTCTTGCGGGCCTGCAAAAAGTATGGAATGTGCCCTGGCTAGTAATTTCAAGCAGCATTGGTGTCGCAGCACGTTTTTGCGACTAACCTGACACCAATACTGGGCCAGCACAGGTATGTGATCCCGACCTTTGACCTGGGCTATTTCATGTCCACCGAAGCAAGGCCTAGCCTGAGATGAGTGCAACTGCTGAGCGCAGAGAGTTCGATAGTCCTGTGAGGATGTCTCCTTTCAGCAAGAGGCAGGCCGAGGTATGGAAGGGCTTCCAGAAGTTCTTGCATCAGGCGGGGTATAGCGAGAGTGAAGTACATAACAAGGGGAAACGAAGAACAAGAAAAAAGGAAAAGTGAGAGTGCGAGTGCGAGTGCGAGACCGCCCGCCATCCCCAAACCTGTCATAAGAAGAGAAAGCAGAAGAGGAGAGCGGTCTAGAGTGAGGAATGCATACATGTGGGATGTGCGGCATGGGGGGGTTTGTCGTCCTCCCGGTGCAACAGCTGTCACAACAGAGCCCCGAAGCTGGATGCTATGTGAGATTATCCCCCAGATGTTTTGCCCAGCTTGGTAGCGCAGCCTGGCAGCTGGGCAGGGCCTTGGGGCTGGTTGCTGTTGTGTTGGGCAGTCCGTGTTTTGCATAGTGTTGGGCTGTCAATGTCTTCTCCTTCCTTGGCAAGGGCTTGCCGGTCGCATGCGTTGAGCTTGTGCCACACAGGCACGGAATGGCACAGAAGCGATCTCGGCTAACTCTCGCGGTCGCGTTTTCCGCGTGATTGTGTTTCACGCTAACGACCTGGACAGACCATCGGGCCGCGCTGGGTGGTCAGGGAGTGCCCTCTGCGTAGAATAAGAAGAAGAGCTCCCAATGTTCACTGCTGCTTGCAAGTCTAGGGAGTCGATGGGGTGGCAAACTGGGAGTGTATGTTGCAAGTATCGGGAGGCTTGCAGGCTCCGGGCTAGTGAAGTGTAATGCCGAAGATCAGGCCCCGCTCGCCTGACCCTCAAGGTTCCGCATCGCTGCATGAAACAGCGACGAACCCGTCCTTCTGTCTTCTCTCGGGCCAAAGCGGTTACACCTCCCCCGCGGTTGGGGTTCAGTGCGGGCGACTGAAGGAGGAAATGCGAGACCAAAAGTAAGAGCATCGAAGTGGGTTCTAGTTGCTTTCTCGAGCCTCCCGCCAGCAACAGAAGTAAAAGAACGCCAGATGACAACAGACTAGTGAGACAAGGTGGTTGCTCTGCACGTTCCCGTGCCAGGCACTTCAGGATGCTGCAGAAGCCGAAGAGCTGCTCCTCATGTGGACCATCAACTTCGGGCTCAATCTCAACGAAACAACAGATCAAGGTCCACGGTCAATTTCTATCCTGTCAGACATCCGTGATGCAGCTCGGAGAGATCCGATTCGGGCAATTGAACAAACATGTCTGATAAACCGATAAACCGATAAACCTCTCTGGGCAGATCAGCCCTTGGTTTGCCTCTTCTAAGGAGTATTTCCAGATGCTGCGCGTCATCCGATCAGCTCAGTGGCTCCAGGAGTGTGGGCCGGCAAGAGCTTCCTGCACTGGAGATCGCTTCAAACGACCACTAGGCTGTGCTGCTTACTTTCTGTTCCCTTGCTTCAGGGGTGAGACCATGCGCTTCAGGTCCTTTTGGAGTACCTTAAGCCCCTGACCTATCCCAACTTGTCTGCCAGATCTGCAGCGCATAGGGGGCTCTAGGCCTTCTCAAAATTCCCCGTAGCACGCCTTAAATATGTCCTGTGGCCGTGTGGCTTTGTGATGGCCCGCAAAAGTGTTAAAAAACCCTTCAAGCCCAGAGTTCTTCAAGGGGTGCCAAAATGCTTCGTAAGCGAAGCTCAACATCGAACCCTTGTTGCTGTTATCTGGAAGGTGTGCCGCTGTTATTGGACACGACCATGCGACAAGATAACATCGGGTGGTATCTTGGGTTTGCTGTGCCTTGGGCACACACTCGGACCGACTAAGCTCACGGTGTAGTGTTGCAGGCAACCATGCCAACATGCTCTTGATTCTCTGTATGACTTGAACCTTAGGAAACTGTGTGGGGAACATGGCCGGTAGATGAGCTGTCGCTGCGTATCGACGAGAAGACCTTTAACCACCTTCGGCCGATGGGAGCTTTCGATGCCTGGATCGTCCAGTCCCAGCCTCCCACCAGTCGACAGGGACAGACGGACCTGGAGCAACAGCTGAAGTGGTTCAATGTAACCTAGTCGCAACAGAAGAAGAAGTGTGTATGGTGATCAGCTTTTGATAGAGTTCAGTTGTCCTGCTCGTGTTTTCCTCGCGCCTGAGGCCACCATAGCAGAGAGCCACAACGAATTTGCCTGGCATGATCTTTCAACCCAGACGTTAAGCAACCCCGCGGGTGATCTGCTGGAAGGCTGTGACCCAGGTGGCCACGCGAGAAACCAAATAGCTTAAGAGTCTTAATCCTCGCTCGTTGTTCCGGTTTCTGCTCGGATGAGCTTCTCAGTGGCCACAGGCATTGGGTGCACGTATCCAACGCAGAAGCTGGTCATTTCACAGTTTGGCTTTGCAGCCGAAGCACCAATGTATGGCTCGGTACCTCGGTTGCTTTACGCTAGGCTGGAACCAGGGTGGGGCGGTAGCTGAAGTCAGGAGGTTACAGCTCAGCCACTTCAGAAGAGCCGCCTGCTTGCAGAGGCTGCCAGGGGGTGATAGTTGCAGGGATCATTGATCACCGATGAATCCTGTCGTGCGACAGGTTCAGGTGTCATGAAGGTGCAGTGGCAGGCAATGTGACATGCCCTCCCAATGGCCCAACCAGAGTGGAGGACACAACGCTTGTTTAGAGCTGCCTGGCAGAGGCCAGCAACAGGTGGGAGCTCAGAAGGGAAGCCAGGAAGCGAACGTCAGCTTGATTATTTTGGCACTTAGCGCAGCACCCAGGTGAACGAGATGGTGGACGCTGGCTTGCAGCAACAGCTGACAGGCCGCTTGATTGCAAAAGCTTAAGCCTGTCCAGCATTTGCACATTTGCACTTCTGGGTGGTGACTGGATCTGGACACCCAAGGAGAGCTTTACAAAGGTCTCGTGCGCCTGGACAGCTGTGCAGAAGCTGGTGTGGTGATCGACGAGTGGGTTGACGACTGGGGCCGCTCAGAAGTCCTCGGTTGTCCTGGCAGCGTATTTCAGCATCCGCACACTGGGCCTTGTGACGAAGTCCGGCCGGGCCGTACTATTCACCACGAGTGGTTCGGCCTGAATGGGCAGTACACCTTCCTCAGCTTTCACTGCCTCGATCCACGCTTTCACAGAGAGCACCCATCCAAATCGGAAGGGGACACGGTTGGTGCGAATGGCTTCCGCTTTGATGCCATGCCGGAGCCGGCAATAGAGGAGCAGATATGGAATCTCCTACCAGGCGGCTACTGTGTGACTTGCTGGACAGCTGTCAGCTTGTTTCTTTCTTTTTCGTCTGTGGCGGGTCGGAAGAGGGCACAGAGAGAGGCGCAGCCATGAGCAGCAACTATGCCTTTTATGACACGAGAAGATGCCCCAAGCCGGGCTTTTGCCCTTGGCCCTTGTTTTGTTTTTCCCTTGACACCGCCCTTTGCGCTGCCAACTCGCTGCTAAGGCTGTGATGCACGAAAGCTTGTGGCTTCTGGGTCTGAACTTCGCCTTGTTTTTCTGTGGGGCTGCGCTGGAAGTCTTCTACTGGTGCAAGTGCTGTTGTTTCCGCTGCCCGGTCGATTTTGGAGGGGCTAGTTGCCTTGCAGATTGCAGAGGGATGCTGCTTATGCCTCGTTCCGTGAGGCAAGCTCGTTGCTCCCCCGAGATCCCGGCTTCCGTCCCAAGCTCGTGCTGCAATTGATGGTCAGGCGGCCTCTGCAAAGCTGCAGATCGCATGTCTTTCACAATATCTTTTTTGTTGGCTCGAAACAATCTTGTGGCCAACGCAGGCACTGCTCGAGGCAGAAGTAGCTTCCAGGCGGGTTCCCGGCACACATCCTCATTGGAGCGTCTGGGTGCAGTAGACTTGCTGCTGCTGTCGCAAAAAATATCATGACATGCGTCAGGACTCCAGATGCCATCGAGCTGGGGCGATTTCAGGAGTTGAGATCTGACGTGCCGGATGACAATAACATCGTCAAGGCCTGGCCTTCTTAGTCTGATGTGCTGCTTAAATCTGCTTGGATTGTTGTGCTGGAGTGCGGAGGCAGAAACGCACTTGATCCTCCCGGATGAGATGTCAAAAGGGGCTGCGGAGGCCCTTCCGCCAAGCCAGGCCGTGTTCAGGAGAGATGCGGCTTGTAACGCTTTGGTCGCCTGGGAAGGTCATCATCTGCATGACAGCAAGCGTGGTCCGCGAGGGCAAGGTGCAGTTCACGACAGAGACCCTGCGTCACAGAGCGGCAATGCATGTATGTAGAGGATTCGCATCCTGGTTTTCAGCTTCTCTATGTGTTTTCGCTAGATGCCGGTTGCTGCCACTTGGGGTCTAGCGTAAGCATTCGTTCGGCATGGAGGGCACAGCAAGGATAATGTGCTTTCGCCACCCTAAGCCCTGCCAAAACCCCTTGCGCTTCAATGCTGGGTGACTTCGCAAAAGAGCCAGTTGGAGGTGATGAAAGGACGCATCGCGAACATGCCTTTGGACTCAGAAGTTAGGTATGCGCAAGCTGGGGGCTGAATCTGTGCAACATCGAGTGCCGGTGAAGAACTCTCCTGCGCGGCTGGCTGACTCCCCAACCGTTAGTTTGTCGCTCCCGAGCCCCGAGAGTGATCAATTCGTGTGGAGTCGAGATCCTCGGGGCTTGTACAAATCGCCTGGCTATGGCTAGGACCTCATTTGGTTGGTTTGCTGCAGTCTGAGTGCTGGAGAGTGTGGACGCCGAAGGTCCTTGAGAATGCCAGAGGGTGACGGCGGTTACACGGCACCCCCAACTTTTCTCCGGAGCTATGGGGTCTTCCAAAGTAGCGAGTGAGCAAAAAACGGTGCTTGAAATGGGTGGGGGGAGAGGGGGGAGGGGAGAGATGGGGGGCAAATCAGCTCTTCTTCCGCCACTAGAGGAGAAGGCGGTCTCACCTTTGTGAAGCTGTCGAGTTGGTACTTCGAAAGGTACCAGAGAGTTCTTGAGCGTGCGGCTTTTCAGAGATACGGCTGCTGTCTTTGCTCCCTCGCAGTCTTTGGTTTTTCTGTCCCAGCTGCAGCAATGAGCTCAACCAATCCCAGGTTTCTTTGCAGAGGCGCATGTCAAGACCCAATGCCGGCGCTTGAAGCTGCAGGTGCGCGGCCTTGCGGGTGGCCGTTGTGTGTGTGTGTGTGCGCGCGCGCACGTGCTGCCGCAGCTCATTTCCCAACCAGTATTATGTCAGCCTTAGAATCTGTGAACTGACGTGGATTGTGGAGACACTTCTGGAATTCTTTAGGAAACAAGAAGCTGCCACATGCTGTTCAGGTTGAGGCCGAAGGGCTCGCGCTGGATGCTGAATTCACTGGGCCTGGGCGCTTGTCGCGAGAGGAATGCATCAGCAGAGCACGGGCCTGATGCAATCACATTTGACTTGCACGTTTCGTCCACAGCGGCGTGCGCGACCAAGGCCATGATAAACATCCACGCTCGCGTGTTGGAGGGTTACTTTGTGCAGGGCGCTCAAAAGTGTTGTCTTGCCTGGGGATGCGGGTGATTTGTTGTGATGCTGGCATATGCTGGCTCCCTGAAACCTGTGGTGTCTGAGGTGGCTGGAAGCACAGCGGGACTTGAGAAACAAGGAGAAGCGGCTGAAAGCCATGCTCGGCACTCCGCAGTCTAAACGGCCTCCTTGGATGTTGTTTGCAGAAGCTGCACCTTGGCCTTAACCTGCGCATCCGTTCAGGAAAATGACGTTTGAGAGCCGTCCTGCAAAGGCAACCCTCCGTGTCGTGGAGAGCTTGTCAGAGCACGCCCTGTACGAGCCTCTGATGGCCTCTGCATTGGTGTCTTTATCTACATTCTCCGCAGTGGCCAATGTGCCAGGCACTCGCCAGAGTTCATCTCCATGATCTTCCACGGCATGCGTTGGACGGATGCGCTCTCTGATGACAGCGCAGCTTGGCCTGGCTTGCGTAGTGCGCCTTGAAGGTGCCTCGGTGTCTCTGCCGTGTCTTCTGTATCCATGCGCAGACGGCACTTTCATTGTATTCTTCTGCGGCTAAGCTGCTAAGGCCTTCCTGCCTGACCTTGTTCGTTTCGCGGTGGAGACTTTGCACCTATAGTCTGTACCATGTGTCGCATCTCATGAATGAACCTGTGAAATGGGCGCCTTCTGGAAATCTGCTTCGTTACACTCTCCTTGCAGTTTCTGTCTGCTTTCGTCTCTCGGTGCCTGTTGCACAGCCTGGCCAAGCCGCCCCAGGACTATGACGCACTTCACTCTGGAGTGGATGCCATGCGCAAGAACACCAATCCGTTCACCGGAGGTATCAACTTCGATGACCCTCGTCGTGCAAAGAATCCTCAATGGCTTTCCTGAGCTAGAACGCAGTGGGTTGCACATGCTTACGCAACAAGAAAGCAGTTTGTGGGGAGGACTTAAACGATCTGGGCGAAGCGCGAGCTCCAGTTGATGTCAACACGGTGCAGAAGACTTTCCTGGAATCTTCGACTCCTGGCCGCACTCTGCAAATTCCAAGAATGGCAGCTGGATCAGCTGATGCGGAACCCTGAAATCTGACAAGGTCCTGGCGCGTGTTGTACGACCTGCTTGACAATTTTGGGCCTGCCACTCTGCAGAAATATAGGATGCGGGCGCATACTGTGGGTTGCCCTGGTGTACAGGAGTGTCAAAAGTGCTAAGAAACCCAGGTGTACGTAGAAAAAACCGACATGGGCTTCCCAAAAATCTATTGCACGCACGAAACAGTCGAGTCTTTTGGTGCCATGTTCACGAAAGGCATACGCTTGCGACAGCATGTCTTGTTCCCGAAGCATCAAAACATCTTTGCGCAGTATGGGGTGCAGAGAAGCAAATCGCTGTACATGCAAGTGTTTTGGGCATGTTCGCCAAAGGGATGAACGCCAGAGACAGTGCTTCTTGTTCCAGAATTCAGAGAGCCTTGAGCCGCACGTTGTGCAAGGACGCAAAAAAACCCTGTTTTGGGCATGTTCACCAACGGCATGAATGTTTTGTGCCACATCCCTGCGTAATATGTTGTAGAAAGAGGCTAAAGCGCTGTAAATGCCAGTGTTTTGGGCATGCTCGCCAAGGGTATGAACGCTCGTGACAGCGTGTCTTGTTCCAGAATATTTGAGTCCACATTCGTGGGGGCCATCTGCGTTGTAACACGTTGTACCTGAGATCGTCGTCACAGATTTCCCCGCTCTGCTTGATGAAAAAAAAAGATTATTCGCATCAACATCATGTGAGATGGAACCTATTACCCTAGTGGCTCTGGGAGCGGGGACCGGGGCGAGTCGCATCGCACTGCGGGTTTACCATACGTTTACTGGGATGAATGGCTGCTTGCCAACGGCGTGCTGAACCGTTAAAGGCTTGGTTCTGAAGCCGTCGTGCGAGGGCCTCGGACTGTGCCATCGGCGTTTGCTCCCGGAGCTGATATTAAACTGCCGTCTAGTACTGAACGTGGTCCACTCAAGTCCGCGGAGTGAGATGATGTGCAGTGAGCGAAAACTTTTTGTTAAGAGATGGAGACCTTGGAGAACCGACTGGAAATTGGCGACTCTTTTCTGCTTGTTTCTTGTGCAGCTGTTGCTATTTGATTTTCTTCTGCAATGCTTCTCATGAACATGACGCACTTTGGAGGAAGAAATTCATTGCTACCTGAGGTCATGGGCAAATAGTGCCTTCAGCTCTGCCCTAAGCCCCAAGCCCAAGGTTTTGCGTTCGATGTTCTGTCGCAGAATGTTTGGCTAACGAAGGCGTTGACAACTGTTCTTTCTGTTTGGCTGATGAGGATGCTGTCTTTGGGAAGAGATCTGCGAGGGAGGAATTAACGAGAGTGGAAACTTGCCCTCATACATTTTGGAGACGTGCTCCAGCAAGGAAGGCACAGCAATCAACCGTCCAGCCTAAAGGTCGTGCATTTGAATACATGTCGTCGGCCAGTGCCATCTCCCTGCATCCCATCTTCTCACATTGCACAAGCCATTGTAAATACGCGAGGGGTGTTGTACTGCATGTAAAAATGTTCAGATGTGCAAGTATACATACATATCTCCATTCTCACTTGCCAAGATCTCGAGCCTCAACTGTCCAAGTTTCCAACCGAATTTACCAATTTCCAGACCCTGCTGTTCCAATTTGTTTTTGCAAGGCTGAATGAGGGTTCGACATGTGGCAGCTGCAAGTTGTGCTCCTTGACATGCGCCACAACTGTCCCTCTTTCCTGAACGGTGTTTGCGTCAGAAGGCATCCCTCAACTCTTCGGTGCCGTTTGCAGGTCTTCACAGTGAAGCTTTGGGTGTTCTTCCTAGCCTTCTATGTACATCTTGGCTCACTGCCGGACGCAACCTTAGCTGCCTCGACTGACATGAACAGCCGGCCTTTTCCCGTTGCGGACGCTTCTGCTAGCGTCTGGTCTTCAGAGCGAGATCATTTTCTTTCGTGTGGCGTCTAAGGATCAAGACGATAGCTTCTTCAGCCCAAGAGGCAGCCGGTCCGATGCCGTGCAGATCATGGCCCTTTTGGATGCCAGCCTGCTGGTGTTGCTTGATTGGGATCACGGCAAAGAGGTCGTTTTGTTTTCATTTTTTCTGAGGGTCGTTCAGAAAAGGGGGCTGAAAGAATTCGCATGTGTGGCTACAGGTTGTCAGAGCTGGGCCTTCTGTGGCACGGACTTGCTCAGCGGCGCCTCTGCCGGAGCCCGGGCCGCTTCTCTTCGCAGGTGAAGCGGACGCACCGGAGGTGGACCCGAAGGCGCTCCCTGCTGAATGTGAGAGCTCCCCTCTGTCTCAAAATTCCCCGACAGATGGAACTCTCCCCAAGGGGGGAACATGAAGTGCCGTCAGGCGGCTGCTGTCCGTGGTTCTCGGATTGGTGAGCCTGGGGGGGATGGTGATCTTCGGCAAGGTTGGCCAAAACCTCTGCAATTTGACTCCGGAGGAGACGTTTCACAAGGACGCGGGGGAGCAAGGTGTTGAAACCTGTGAGTGAGGTTGAGTAAGGGCATGTGGGGGGGGCTCGGGAGATCCCTGTACTTGTTTCGAAGGAGAAAGACTGCTCGGACACCTTCGCGATTATTTGCTGCCTTTGGGTTGCACATGGCTTGTTAGACAAAGGGTCGAGGTGAGACATGCTGGCAGTCAGCGTCAAGAACTAGCATGTGCCCGAAGGGTCAGTGACAGTGTCAACAGGGTTTGGAATGAATGCTGAAGGCTGAAGGTTCGCTTAGAAGGGAGCCGACAGGTAAGGTCCCCGTAATGAGTTGTTGTTTTTTTTTGGGAGGACGGCGCAAGTACGTGGAGCAGGGCGTATCTGATGTGTAAAGTGTTTGTGTTCTAAGCAGCCTCGTCAGCCTCTCAGGTTGCGTCTATGCAGCGGTTCGGCTTCTGGTGTTCTTCATCTTCAGCCGTCGTCGAAACATCCCCTTCGTCCATGGCACCCCAGCCGACCTGAAAGACAAGACAGCCCAGTTGATAGAGCCGGATGTGGACCAGGACCGATGGCTTGGAGCAGTGACTATAAATCAGGCTTCTTGGCAAGGCTTTTTGGCACCTCGGTGCCTTGTAAGAAGCTACTCGGGAAAAATGTGCAAGGAGGCAAGCTCGGCGGACTCCTTCTTGACGGTGGTTGCCGATGACCCACCAGACGCCTTAGAGAAGGACGGAAGCCGTTCTCCTCCATTGTTATGAAACCCTGCTTTATGATTGCAAGCATTCCGGCAGGAGGGCAAGGGTGCTGCTCCCTTGGTGGTTTGGGTATTCGTGCTGGCTCTGTGCCCCTGGCCGAACCGGGTGATTTCAAATGTTTTGGGTTTCCAAGCGTCCCGAGACGCTGGCAGTCCGCACCAACAGCCTTCAATGCAATGTGACTGCTCGTTTGCGCTATACTTGTGCCGTCGCCAAATCTGTACATTGTCTCATGCCGGAGAGTTGCCCAAGAAAGTCGCATGGCACTGAGGTGCTTTGCCTTTGAGACGTTCTTCGTTGCTCCCCTGGTATCCGGCTTTTCGTTCAAGGGGTTTTGCGGCGACACCTGCTCGAATCGGCTGTTTGCCTGGACCCTCAGCGTGCCTGGCTTGGGGACCCTGCATCCATTACCATCCGAATGCGCAGCTTGGCAAGCATAGGTTCTGCAGAACTCATTGGGCCATCGAGCGCGAGCCTGCAGCCTGTGGCATAGAACCCAGAAGCACACGGTCTGTGCTCAAGAGCTTTCGCTTGCTGTGAGGCGGCTTGCGGATTGACAATCATTGCCATCTACGCGCTGGTTGGCATGACCGCCTTCCTTGATTTGTATCCTGGGTCTAAAATGAGTTGTTTCTGGTCTGGCGTACTGCCTGGCTTTCTGGCTTGATAGCAGGCTCAACATCGCAGTAGTCTGCCTGGGTCATGCTCGTTCCTGCCGATACGGAGACTGTTTAAGGCACTTCCTTTTCTACTTGGTCATTGGGTGCCTTGGTGGCCTTGGCTGGGACAGCTCTCCTTAAGGGACCGGATGGGGCTCCAGCTGCCTTTTTGCTCAGCAGAGCCTCCTTGAGGATTGGCGGATATGCCATGGGCGAGCATCGAGGATTGCGAAACGTCGTCTCATCTGCTTTGAGGCCTCGGGGGGGCAGTCGTGTCAGAGTGTAAGATGGAGGCCTTGATCTTGCAGCTTGTTCACTTGCCACTTTCGTACTTGCCAGATGAGTGCATGGAAGGCATCTGGACCTGGATGCGAGTGCTCGCCGTCAAGAGATTCACGAGCATGAGCTTCGGGACATGATTAGCGATGGTCGCGCGATGGATGCTTCTCTTTGCCAGCAGCCTTTGCTACTGTTTTGTGTTTAGCTGTTTTTTGTTTTTTGTTTGCTTGGCTCCTGGCTCGGTTTTCGGTAGTTTGAAAGTTTCCGCACGCCCGGAACATTGCAAATGGCAAAATTTGTGTCCTCGCTGCAGGTAGCCACTCGCGCTCTCGCCTAGGTTCCGTGCGCATTCTGTACTCGGCATCGTGCTCCCTCCATGGTCCTGTGCATTCCTGTGCGCTTTCTTGAGGCTTGCACCGCGCCGTGTTGCGGAAATGTAATGCCAAAGGCCAGTTGTTATGTAAAGGCATTTGTGGTGGGGTACTGGTGTTTATTCACCACCAATGTGGGGGAGTTGGTTTTTGGGCTGAGCTCTGCCGCCGCTGCCGCCCGCCGCCGCCTCCGCCCGCCCGCCGCGCCCGCGCCCGCCCATGCGAGCCCTGCCAACACCACGCCGTGCAGCACCGACAGACATCGCGACACACGCCAACACGGCTCTTTGTGTCTTTCCCTCGCGGATGCTCCAGAGAGCATCCTCTGGAATCGGGACCCTCCGGATTTGGAGGGAGAGGTGCAGCAATGAATGTTGACCGGGGCGATAGCAAAGTAACCGGCGCAACTTTATGTGCCGGAGCACCCTAGCCGCTTTTAGTTTGACCAAGGAAGCCGTTTTCGGAAGTGCCTGGCGTCTGGTTTGGAGCTGTGCGGTGGAGTCGCTGTATGATGCACCTTGGCCACATGTCGTTGGCTAGGGTTTGTGTGGCCGGACGTACGAAGTTGCAACCGCTTCAGGATTGCTTGATTTCCGAAGCAGCGGCCAACAGTATGGCGTCTTGGCTGTTAATTTGAGCGTTCCGTATCGCTGTGCTTCTCGTTCAAACTTGCCTGCCTCGGACTTGCTCACGTTTAGATGCAGCGAGGTGAATGCTGCGCACACCTTCCGCTGGAGCGATAGTGCGGCTTCCAAAAGGCAGTTCTCTCAGGTGTCCCAGTGTCTCTTGGCTGCAGAGCGGCTGTGGAATCTTGACGAGGGAAGTGCGATGTGCTTCTTTGGTTGGGCAGGTTTTACGAGACTGCGCTTCCGAGCCACACAACTGCGTGGGGGCTCCTGGCAGCAAGCTGGACGATCTTGCTGCATCTCTGAAATCCAGGCACGTAGAAGGTGTAGTGACTGTGGGTAGTGATGTGTTAGCGTCCCGGGGCAGCTGCAAAGCACGGGCCGACATAGACAGTTGTGCCATTTTGTGGCAGGTCATTCATGGAGCAAGAAGTCGGCCCAAACAATACCCTGTGCAGAAATGGGCTATCAAGCAGGCTGGCTTCAGCAAGGGTCGCATCTACACATGTGAACGCACACCATTGCTTTCTAAGCACCGTTCCGCGGATAGGCGCTTGCCTCACTGGTTCCTTGCAGGTGAAGGTTTCCACGCCATCGGACCATGCAGAGCTCATGGAAGTTCTCGATGACAGGCTGATTGCCACTGCAGATGTACCAGGCGTGCGACGCAGAGTGAACGTGAGCCTCGTTCCTATTGAGGGTTGACCGTGCAAGTGCAATTGACAAGGGTGTATAGGTGATGATTGGTCATTTTCGGGGAAGGGGCCGAACAACATGCTGGGAGCCCATGGCAGGCCTTGGCGTGAAGAGTGGATGGCAGCTGCTGTCTCGCGGAGCATCACAAGCATCCCCTGCAGGCCCATGCGTCATGCAATCAGCAGTTGAGTTACGCCACTGTCAGAGTGAGTAGTGTTGTAAAGCAGCCGCTTGCAGCTTCCCTTTTGCCAGCTTCCGGCACAAGCACTCCGAACAGAGCGCTCCTTGGCGACGTTTGGAGAAGCAACACGCTGGCCTCGCCCAGCCATCCTGCATGATTCATGCTGCTGAAAGGGCCCAGAGAATTTGTGCTGCGCAGGTCGGTGTCCAGTCGCGGGAGTGCACACGCAGGACCTCTGCGCAGAAACCTGACGAAGGCTGAGGACCTCGTGGCCTTGAGAAACGCAAGCAGTTTTCGCTTCCCGGCGGACCTGGAGTTCACTTACCCCGAAGAGTACCGGGAGGTTGAGGTGACATTTGACAAGCCTCGCTGCGTTGCTGCCATCTCCTTTTCAACCACTTCGGATGACCGTCAGTTTGACCCGGTGTGTTGGGAGATAGATGGTTCGATGGATGGCCAGACATGGATGAGACTGCAGACCCAGCAATGTGAGTTTGACACGCCGGTAGAGCGGCGCGAGCATGTCGGGACGTACTTCGCATCTGAACCATGGAGGAAGCAGGGTGCTGTTGCGTCAACACAGGTGGACCTACAGAAAGTCCCGACAGCTGTCAGTGAACGGCTTTGCTTTTTTGCAAGTTCGCTGCGGGCTCTTCTGAAGCAAAGCATCCGACCAGGGTTTCAGATTCGACCAGGGCGCGATACGCTGCTGGACAGCAACGCCGGGGCGATACCGACCTTGACCCAGGTAGTTCCGATCTACGAAGAGCAGGTCATCCTCACTGAGGAGTTCCTCTGTGCTTCTGATGGGCGCAACACGAACCTGGGCTTCCTCATTGCGCAGGCAGGTCCGGATATGTCAATAAGAGTTGGTCGGATCGAGGACTGCTAGGGATCGTGCTGTGAACGCTGGGAGTGGGGGCCTCCAAAGGAACAGAAGGCACGCGCAATGCACCTGCAACGCTGCAAAACACCCAGTTCGAGCCTTGGGAGGCAGAAGACCAGTGGGAGATTTTCACACGCAAGCATGGCATGGAGCCGCGAGAGCTCTTCAACGCCTTCGTTCTCGGCGACCTTCGCGAGTGGGCACGGAGGGCAGAGGTGAACCAGGAGGGAGGGCAGTGGAGGGTGCATGGAAGGGTTTCCTAGTGGCAGGTGAAGCCGGTGAAGCATCCGATCAGGACTTCGATCTCGTCGATGAAATCCGCGAGCTGAATCTTCAGGTTCGACTTTGGGCATCGCAGCGATCCCAGACACTTGGCCCTGCTAGTGTACTAGTGTCCCCTTGCTGCCATCATTCTCGTTTCTGACGTTTGTGCTTGTCATGCACATTGTCCCGATCGGCAAGGACCGTCTACCGCACCATAGCTGGGGCCATTCAGTACCACAAAGTCTTGGAAGCCCGTCTGTGAGAGAGTCAGGGCGAATGGGCTTCCGGGGTGTCGTTGCCTTGTCGTCCATGTTGGACCCCTAAGGAGATGCTCCCAGCAGTTCAGGCATCTGACAGCCCGGCCAAGACTTTGGCAGGACCCGCAGGGACATCAAAGCCAGGCTTCCCCTTTTCTAGGCTCGTGGATGCTTCCTTGCAAGCAGGCTTGGTGCAGCTCTTCATTGCTCACCAGACCTACGGCAACAAGCAACAGAAGGAGAGCGTCGACCAAGACATGCGACGGCTGCTCTGGCAGTACCGTCATTATCCAGTCTTCCTGGTATGCTCCTGGATGGCATTTAATGTAGTGCATCAGATGGGCAGAGTTGGGGTGAAGGCAGAATGCAGTGAGTCTCAGGTGATTACAATGCAGATCTTGCCAGGTGACGTGCCTGAACTTTAGACTGCCCGATGCTTTCATGCTTGTCCGCACAAGTCAAAAGCCAGGCCTTCTTTGAGGGAGATGGTGACGTGTTACGTGGCCCGTGAGCACAAATTCACCGGGCGACTTCAGTTTGCGTCTGTCCTTCTTGCCTTCAATGAGACTCTCAGCTTACATGGAACTTTGAAGTATTTCAATGTTTTCCCCGAACTTAGCCGTTTCAGGAACTATGTCAAGGGCCAGTCAGAGGAGAACATCATCAAGGCTCTGGGTCATGCAGCTGCGTGCAGCAAGAGCGCTGAGCAACTGTATTCAGGTCGTGGAGGTGTTGCCGAGAGTCTACCCGCTAGTGCTTGGAGAGCTCGATCCTCGGCCTCCAGCTGCCAAGACCCAGGGTAAAGCAGGCAACCAGCTGGGGGCGCTCCGCCGCACGGCTGCAGTGGTCCTTGAGAAGGTGAATCTTTTCTATGGGAATCTATGGAGGATATGACACACATGTTGACGGGTGTTGATGGGCCGAGGCTTCGCGCCGGGTCACTTCTTGCAGATGATGGACGCGAACATGGGGGCCTTCTTTGGGGAGGTGGCTCTGTTTGCGAGCATCTTGCGTTTCCAGCCCCATGCTTCGCCCCCAGGCCTGCAAGGTGCCCTTCGTGCTGCGGCACTTCCAGCCTCCGGGCTGCGACCGGAGGCAGCGCAGCCCATTCACCCTGCCGAGAAACTTGAACGTCACGATGTACAGGACCGTCCAAGCACGCATCATTGGCTTCCGCGAGCACATTTTCACTGGAAGCCATGGTGCAGTAGGCGACCGTTGTTACCCACTGCTACCGCATCTTGTGTCAAGTTTCGAATCAAGTTGCCTCGTGGCTCTACCTTCAAGTGCTCTGCGGATTGGGAGGTGCAGCCATGGCCGACGCCGAGTGGACTTTCGGAACTATCTGCCAGCGCTTTTTGGCAGGGCTTGGCGCACGCATGCACTATGGGAGCCTCGCCAGCATGAAGCACCATTGAGGCACCGTGTGTGCAGCCTGTGCAGATCTGTGCAGCTTCCGGTCTTTGTGTGGATGTTGTTCATGTTCTTCTTGAGTCGCTCTTGAGGCACCCGGACTTCTTCGATGCCTTTTGGGCCTCCAACCGTGGTTCTGTTTCGAAGGCCTCTCCCATCCTGAACCTTTCCGAAGATATCTTCGCAGGGTTCAACGTGCTCATGCGCAACTGAGCTCAATACGCCGTTCAGACCCCCCCCCCCTCTTGTCTGTCACGTGAATTCAGACCTTGTCGATCCAAGGTGGTGAAAATTCAAAGCACGTAGACTGCCTGGAATGGGAGAAGGGCAGAGAGGTGTCCTTCAACTCGGCATCCTTGTTCTTCACGAAAGTGGCCAGCGGCAACGTCGGCGTCATGCGTTCCAGGGATCTGAAAGTTCTGCGCCTCGACTCTTCCTTGTTGTGAGCTTTGTGTTTTGTTTCGTTCCCCTGCCTCGGTATGGGATTTGGCCCGGGTGTCTTGAGTCTTCTGTACTCCGAAAGAATGCCCAAGAGAGTCCTCCAGAGTATGCTTGGAGCCCCCAGAGTCCCCCTGCGGCACCCACCCCCAGCATCCTGCAAAGAATCCGTTCCGCAGAGCATTTTTGGAGAGAGTGTTTTTGGAGTGCCAGTCCCATATCCTTTGAGCACCCAATCCCAGCTGATCTCCACAGAGCATGTCAGACAGCTAGGCTTTGGGGATGTTCGAAGTAAATGATGCTAAGTAAGGTTGTTTCACGTATGTGCGTGGATTTCAATCCAGGACTGGAAGCTTGAACATTGCCGACAGCTTCTCCTTCTATTTTGCATCCGTAGGCTTCTATTTGTATAATGTGGTGACGGACCTCTCGATGAGGATCTATGCAGCTCAGTTGCACGAGTCCCCGCGTGCCTCAAAGATGGATGCTTTAGTGGTGGAAGCCTTTGCAAAGTTTGGCGAAGGTCGTGATCTTTGTGCTCTTGACACTGTCGTCAAAAAGTCTGGATGACGTTGGCAAGCTGGATTCCCTGCTAGCTGCCGAATGGGTTATATCATTCGGCACGCTGGCGATGCTGCCTGGTGATGTAAGGAGGGTATTTACCGGAAAAGTGAGTGGTGCCGTCTCAAGGGTCTTTCCTGTGAAGGGTCGTGAGGGGGTATTCGTTGCAGGGTAAGAGCTTGCGGGAAGCGCTCGGTGTCTCGAACTTGCTTCGTACAGGTTCCCACGTTTGATGGAGCTGACATTGGAGTTCGGAGTCATGGAGGGCATCATTCGCTTCCTGCCTGCTGGCAGCAAGTTCTCCCAAAGCCACTTTCGAGAGTTTAGGGTGGCACTCCGAGGCCATCTGTGCCGGGGGCGGTGCTTGTGCATGGACCTCAGTTTCTTTGTGAGCAGATGGTGCCAAAGGCCTGGATCATGCCTGTGTTTCAAGGTTCACTTTCATGAACAAGTCCATTGCCGAAGCTGTGGGTTCAACGATGCAGACGGGCCTTGCCAACTACATCTCTACGGGACGACCAATGGCAAACGACCACTACGGCTGGAGAAGCCTGTCTGAAATGGCATCTGAACTCAGATTTCGGGGCCACAGTTTCACATCGGAGGAGACTGCTACTTCTTCTACAGAGCCCCTGCCTTAGCCCGTGGCTGGTGACATTTTGCAGTCTTTGGTGATTCGTGCCAGTGGCTGCACCAACAAACCTTGTAACTGAGGAAAGTCATTATTATCCTGCCTTGCGCATTCTGATCATGTATTGCCTCTACAGGCCACTGCCTGCCCAAGTATAGATCACGCGCAAGGCATGCACCGAAGCAATAGCGACACCATGCGATGCCGAAGGTTTCTGGCAGAGACCTTCACTGTGGCAGCGCTGCCCATGATGATTCTGCTTGCAACAGCATTGGATACTTGGAGTGCTGTGGTTGTTTGCATGTCGTCCCATGAGTCAGATGAGATGCGGTTGTTTCAGCAAGCAGTGAAGAAGCAGGCGGATCCGAGGTATGGATTGTTGGGCCTATCCTTTTCTGCCCACAGCCGACCCTGTGGTCGATTCGCTTCCTGCCTGATAGAACTTCGGATATTTGTGCCCGACGAGGGAAGGTTGTAGTTGTGGTTGTGGTTGCGGTTGTGGTTTTCGTTTGCTCTGGTGGTTTGCGGTTGTGGTGGTAGTGGTGCTAGTGGTGGTGGTGGTGGTGGTGGTGGTGGTGGTGGTGGTGGTGGTGGCGGTGGTGGCGGTAGTGGTGGTGGTGGTGGTGGTGGTGGTGGTGGTGGTGGTGATGGTTGTGATGCTGCTGCTGCTGCTGCTGCTGCTGCTGCTGCTGCTGCTGCTGCTGCTGCTGCTGCTGCTGCTGGTGTGGTTGTGCTGATGGTGGTGGTCACGGCGGTCTTCAAACACAGAATGCTCATGTAAGAATGCAGGCTAATGATGGCTAATGCAAAAAAGAATCCTGGCTCAGAGAGGAAGTCCACGAATGAAAGCAGATTTCCGCGAAGGAACTAAATTTGGATGGAGCAGATTTCAGACTTGGATCAGCCATCTCCCAAAGCCTGAATACAAACAGGCGGAATGTTCGAGAGCATGTGTCTGGCCTTATCTGTAATGCAGCACATGCAGTGCTTGCAGTGAAGCTTGAGCCCTTTGTCCCAAAGCAGGGCTCTCTTCTGTGCTTCTCTTCACGTCTGAGGCGATGACTTGTCTGAATTTTGGTGCTTCATCGTCGGTGCTTCGAACGCTGATCGCAGCTGGGTCCGCAACATCACGCCGGAATGGACCTTTGCATTGTGGCTCGTGCAAGCTGCCTCGTATTGCCAAGGCCAGATGGGCACGAAAGTCGTGAACCTCGAGGAGAGGCTCGCAGCGAGCAAGGCCGATCCTCGAGCGAACTTGTACGACGTTTCCCGGCCGCACTGCTGAGCAGCAAGAAACTTGCAAATGCCGGTTAGCAGGTTAGCAAGTCTGCAATGATCAATATATCTGCAAACTGCGCCCCCCTTCTCTGCTTCAGTCCAGGTATGGCTATTCGACAAGCTGAAGCACAAGCGCGCTCCGGTCCATGCGCGCATGATGGAATTGGTTGTTGCCCTGTATTTCTTCATTGTCATGCTTGCGGTTCCGGCCTCGGAGACATCCTTCTCCACTGTTTTGCTGGAGTCGTCTGCCAAAGCTGTGAGCAGTCCTGTGCATGCAGGTCGTGTTTGGCACGATGGTGGACCAGATTCGTTCCGTCGTATTGCTCATATTGGTGAACTACTTCATATTAGCTTTGTGGCGTGTCTTTGGCAAGCCTACGATCCTCATGATGCTGGGCTGCAGCTGGAGATTGTGTCGGGGGGCGGGCGGCCCGAGGGCACGTTGTGCATGGACATAAACACCATGGCTCGCAAAGAGGCTTGTAGCAAACCTGATCACCCATCTACGCATTCGCCCATACGACCGTCCTGACAGTGGAAAGGTGCTTCATTCCGGTTTTCATCAAATAAGAAGCCCTCACAGTAGCCTTCAGAAGGCGATTGCCGCGTTCACAGGCTTGAATCCAGGAAGTAGGGAAAGCCTCCTCTCAGTCACAGGGGCTGGATCCTCCAAAAGGGAGTGAGCCCTGAATGGCAAATGTCTCCATTTAACCAACAAGCTTTTTTCCGCCCGCCTACTCTCATCTACTTGAGATCGCAACCAAACCTCATAAGACTTTGAAAAGTGATTGCTGCATCCGAAGAACTGTAGATCTTGCAGACGTACAAGGCATGCCTGTCTCAGCGCTTTGACTCCCCACCTACTTGATGTAGGTGAGAACGCTATTCAAAGGCAAGATGGACTGGACTTGCGTCCAAAGGCTTGTGTAGACGCGAACAAATGTCACGAAAGCTATAGCTACGAGTTTTGCTTCCTTTAGCACGGAGCCGGTCCAACCCCGACCGAGTTGCGTTTTACCTGAAAAATCGAGGAAAAAGGGGATCCTGAATCTATCAGGGTTTTTCGGGTGGGGGGGGGGGGGGTATTCATCGAATCTATCGGTAAACGGTGGGGGGGGGGTTGGGGCGAAAGAGGCGCTGTCGCTGCGTTATATTATAGATCGCGGTCCGATGGTATGGGGCGGTTCGTAGTGGTGGTGGTGGTGGTGGTGGTGGTGGTGGTGGTCATGCGCTGTCGTTGCGTTGTAGATCGCGGTCTGTATGAGTGACCGTTCTCTGACGCGCGTGTTTATCCAGGCAAAGCTTTCGTTGTTCTCGGCTTTGCTCCGCAAGTCTCATGTTATTTAGTGCACTCCCTTCTACGTGAAGTCCTCAGGAAAAGTCCCACGAACGTCTAGATGCTGTATGGAAAGTCCGAAGACCAAACCCCAAATTTGTCACAGTGTGGACTTCCTCAATCCTCCGTTTCGAGCCGGTATGCTGTAGGAACATGATCCTGTGAGCTTGTGTGTCTGTGTGAGCTTGTGTGTCCCTGGGAACGTGGTCCCATTGGCGAGTATTCTCTAGGAAGAAGGAGCCGATTTGTGTGGCTGGATTGTTTGTCGAGCAGTATGGCGCAGCAAGGATGGTCTCCGGCATGTTTTGGATCTGCTCTGTGCCCGTGGTGCTGAACAGCCAGTCCTTAGGAGGACGAGCTGTCATGGCACCGCATGCCCGATTCCCATGGCCTTCCGAAAGTGTCAGGTGCAAGTTAATAAATGTCTGCCAGGACAATATGGGACTTTGCTTGTGGCCTTCATTCTTACATTTCAGGGCCTCAGCGTCATCGAGAAGGCAGGCCGCGTGAATGTTTCTGTGGCTGTACGCAGCACAGGTCGACGCAAGCCCTTCGATCATAGCTGTCATAGCTTGTTTTTGAGGCCAGTTGGGGCCCTACTCCGACTCAGAAGCCCTTGTAACGCCATTCTCTTGTTTCTTTTTTTTTCTCTGATTTTTTGTTCTTGTTTTCAGAGCTGCAGAATGCCAGATGCTGCTGCTCCTGGCCTGGGCTGTTCTTCGGCCGGACCCAGACTGCGCCTCCCTTCCGGAGACTACGTCGGCCGAGTTGGCACAGAGACCCGACCTGCAAATTGGCAGATTCTGTGAACCTTTTTGCGAGCGCAACCATGTTTCGCACAGTTTCGAGACTGTTTTGGCCAAGGAAGAAAGATGCAGCTCGAAAGGTCGAGTTGTATGCTGCTGGCCCTTATTGTGCCTTACTTGTGCTGTCTGTGACTCAACGCGACTCAGCACCAACTTGAAAGCAGCGCATGTGAGGATGCGCTGGTGGAGTACCTCTACCTGAATTTCATGTCTTATCAGTGGCACCTCTATGTCTCAATCATGCTCTTGGCTGCGAACCTGGTCACGCAGCTTTGCGTGGCAATCATAGAGATGAGCCTTGTCTGAAGCAACGCGCGCCGCCGAATTTAGTATTCCACCACCAGTCACAAGCTGGTGTGCGATCCTGGTGACGACTCGCTTTGTTAGGTTGGGAGGTCTCCAATCCTGGTGGCTGCTCGGGGGCAAGCTCAAGGGAGGTTGCTTCCGTGTCCGCAGGCCAGCATCGCACAGAGCAAGCAGGAACAAGCACTTGCAGGATTGTGCCTTGGGTCGAGCATTGTCAGGCCAGAGTACAAACCGCCGGGCAATGACTTTGACCCGCCATCCGAGCGCCAAAGGCAGACTTCTGGCAGCAGATGGTGTTCCAGGATCTTTTTCTAGGTGGATTCCCATGGCGGGTGGTCATGGTACGAGTGTTCTCTGAGGCTTTCTGCATGCGCTCCAAGCTCTGAATCCGAGGGTTTGAGGGCAAGGGCGGTCAATGGCACGCTGTAGAGTTCAGAGGATGCATGTGCTACTGTGCTAGCCTGCGCTTGCAATGCGCGCAAAACTTTACAGTCTTCCTATCTTGAGGACAGGAAGACATAGCTCTCGAAGGAGAGGCAATTTCAACGCCCATGCTTGCCGGAACGCGCCTGGTCTGTGATATTAACTTTCAGGACTCTAGCCGAGCAAAAAAATATAATCCCGTGGGCTCGGTGCTTGGCCGACCTGCGCACCAGATCGCACCGGGTTTCGTCAAGCGAACCCTGTTAACAGCTTTGGCTGGTCCCAACACCCATCAGTGATCAGCATTTTCGTTAGGACAGCTCGTGAGCTTGCCAGCTAGCAGCACGAAAAGAAGCGACCCTTGGTTTTGCTTATCTCACACCCTCCCTCGCACCTCACATGCAGGAGCCGCCGCTGTCATGCAAACATTGGTTTCCCTTGCTGCTAAGTTAGCAGAATCTGGTGCCAAGTGGTCCTCCAGATCCACCTTGCAGGACTTCCTGGCACATGTCGAGGAGTATCAGGCTAGCTCCTGGAGTTATTGCAAAACACATGCCTTCGGTACTTGCTGCATGGTCTCCAGTCATCACAGCCCCGACAAGCATTGTATCAACAGAAACTTGGGCCCTAGTTTTTGTGCCCGACACTCGAAACATCACACAGCACCAGAGGAGACGATTTCAAAGCACCGTCGCCGGCACCACGTCGGCGAGTTTGCTTGCAATGAAATCCTGGCCTGGCCCCCACAGAGACCGCCCAGATGCTGCCAGAGCAGAGCTGCCCGCACAGAGCTGCAAAGGACTGCAGAGGGGAGTTGTTTTTTGTTGTCTCATTCCTTTCTTTGAACCTCTCCGACACCCAAAGTTGGCTTAGGTGGACACACAGAACATCTGGCCAACGGTACAGAAGATCATCGCTGCTGGTTTTGCGCTAACCAGGCGGTGGTATCCGTGTTGCTTCACGGTCGGGGGTACAGCGGGGCTTCCGATCTGTTTTACGGGCCGTGCTGCTGGACAGACTTGATGTGTTGATGGGCGTGGCTGAATGTCCGTTTTCGCGTTAGGCGCTACATCAACGTTGGGGCGCATGATGGCCAGCATAAACCTGAGATCACATGCCAGAAGCAGTGGGAAGTGTTGGGCTCTACTGTTTGATGCCCTGGTCTGTGCCAAGCATCGACGACCCGCTTTACGAGTACGCGAGTTTTCCACTCGGAATCGCACATGGCAATGCCATCCGATTACTGGAACCGACAAGATGAGGATCTACAAATGCCAGCGGCGTTGCTGTCGAACGTGAGCCACGATTGTGTGCACGCGCATGCCTGAGATGGGGTGGCACCATCCAGCAGAGAGCACGCCTGCACAAGACGAAACATGACAGGTCATGAGAAGGCTTTACCAAACGTCAAGGTGGTGTGCGACGAGGCCGTGCCAGAAGCGAACTGTCAGCCGATCTCGCTTGCCAACCCGCTTGCCAACCCTCGACTCCTGTACCTTGCCGCAGGCCACGCCGCAGAGCATCCTGGAGATGGTGCAGCCAGCTTTGCAGGGGCCTTGGGGTGTTCAAACGGTCTCAGACGCCCAGCGCGCAGTCCTGACTCGGACTTTCTCTCGCGCTCGCTCGGGCTCTTGCAAAGCCATGGCCATTGCATGCGCCAATGTTCACTGTGGCTGTGGCATGTTTAGAATTTTAGTACCGAGTAGTGCTGCATTTTCCGCAGGATGCACAATCCTCCTCGCGATGTGATTATGTGGTCTGATTACAATGTCAGGTTCAGATATTGCACCCTCTAGATAGGGCGCGGTGCCGAAAGGCTTGTCTTGCTGCGCATACGGACAAACGGATGTGCTGAGTTCGGCGAAGTCTCGACATAAGAAAAACATCGCTTTCTCGCTCCCCTCCTTTCTGGCCTCTCCTGGCGCTTGTCACTCCGACTCGCTCCTTCCCTCCCGGCTTTCTGCAAGGTCAGATGGGATCGAGATCGATGTGATGAAGGTGGGGGCGGTATCTGAGTGTTTCGAGCTGCTGTCGCAATCATCGTCGCCCGAAGCATCTTGAGGAATGTGTGTTTAGGGTCTTGTGTTGTTCTCGTGACTTGGCAAGACTTGGCGTTTTGGGGTTGAGGGCTGGGTTTGGGGTTGCTCTCTGTTCTTCTAGCATGCTGTGACTTGGGTTTGGGGTTTGAAGTTTGGGGTTTTGGCCCAAGGCAGCGGTCAAACAGGGGTTTAGAGTTTCGCAAGGCCAGAAGCAAAAAGGGTTGGGTTTCGTGTGTTTTTCGAGCTGCAGTGACTTGACTTTTGGGGTTGAGGGCCGGTTACGGTTTCGTGTTTTCGGGTGTTGGGAGTTTTTTAGGGTGCAGGGAGAGGGTTTTCGGCTTCTGTGCCAGGGCTGGATTGCTCCGGAAACATAAGTTATGACAAGTTCCAAGCTTTTTCTATCCGGTCACAACACGTTCTATCGTGCGCCGCCTGAAACCTCGGGAGGAAAAATAGCTGCATTGAGTGCCCGTTCGACAGGGGGAATGACAGAAGTCACTCAAAGACGTACCGGTTCGAAGTCTAAAGCCTTATGGCCTATGACATAGACTAACACTGGCAAGTGGCATGGTGGCATAGGTGGACATCGACTCGTATGACTGCCCGGTGCTGGAAACACTTTTGCCGTCGACTCGGTGAGCCGATGGCGCGACCGAGAGCGTGGCGAGATGTGGCGAGATCATGCAACCCTGTGCCCATCAGAAGTGCGTGGCGCATGCTCCAGTTGCAGCTCTGGCACACGCACGTGTGATTTGTCGCGGAGGCCTGAGGTCAAAGCACGAATAGTTCTTGTGGAGGCCTTGCCCAGCAGTTGCGTTTTTGAATTGGGCACGGCAGTGCACATTGGTTGTTGACGTCCTGCAGGCCAATCCGTCCATTCCGCCGCCGTACCAGCGGGGAACTCTTTCCGTGAGGACGGCGCAATCAAGAATTGCGAAGCTGTCCGAGGTGGGCCATGCTGTACCACCCCGAGCAGAGCCGCCAAGTGTTGTCTGTGCTGCACGCTTGCCTACCCGACCTTTTCTGTGCTGGACTCTAATTACTGTTGGCAACATGCAAGGCTGTGGCACTTTTTCTCGAGCTTCTCGAAGCCCGAGGAGGCAAGATTGCGCGCCTGCATGACTGGGCATGGCTGGGCATGGCTTGGCATAGCTGGGCGCAGCTTCGCTTGAATCGCTTGATTCTTTGCAGCGTTGCCGGGCTTCCCGATGTAAAGGTGCCAATCCGGGGATGCTCACTTGCCTATGAAGTCCAGCTGCCACAGCCTCACATCCTAGACTGTTGTGAGGGGGGTCGGTGGGTCGCTTTATGTTGTTGGCCTGGAAGGCTGCGGCGGTTCGGATATGACCTAATTGCGCCAGACTCTAAGAACAAATGAATCGCGTCTGCAAGACCGCGTTGCTTGCAAGGCAACAGGTTCGGAAACGCAATTCAACACGCCAGCAGGTTCGGCGGTCATGATGCCGTGTTCGCCCACGAGTCAGCTTGGAGCTCACGTTCGGAAGATAGTTGCTGCATTCAGGGGGATACGTGGTCGGTGCCAGAACAGAATTGGGGAACCGGTTCAACGCAAATCTGAGAGATGAGGTGCGGGATGCCTTTCGTGTCTTCACTGAAGTACCCATGGATGAGTTTGATTGCTACCTCAAGGTCGCCTCATTCCATGCACGCTCATATCAAACAAAGTTGCGAATCTTGCAGCAGACATCTTTGATTCAGCAGCGTTTTCCGAATAATGCGTCTGCAGCCGCTCCTTGTTCAAGAAGATCTGAGGGGTGTTGTTTTGGGAAGGGCATCTCTGCCATGGATTAGGCATCCTTTCTGCACATAACGTTGCTTACAAGTGCTGTCTAATCAGTGTGCCCAGGCTTGAGAGAGACTTGAGGGAGACTTGAGAGAGACTTGAGACCGATGTGAGGTTTGTTAATTCCATTGCGTACAGCCTGCATCAGCTCGCCAAAGCCTTAGTTCCACCATTCGACATCGAGCAGGTGCGAAGGCTTACGAAGATGTGCGAAGCACGCGAAGAGCCGTGAGTACTGGGATCGCGCTCGAGTATAGCTGTAAGGAGCTACATTGCTTTTGAGGCCTTTGAGATGCGCCGCTTATGCCTCCTTCTGTTGTTCTGTGCCGGTGCAATGCGGCCGCAGAGTGATGCTCTTCGGCGGATCGGGCACGAGGCGGTGGGGTGGGGGCATGTTGACACCACCGAGGACAGGAGGCATGGGGATCCAGGGAATCCAGACAACGATGAGGCGTTTGTGGATCCAACAGACCTGGACAATCCTGTCACACCCAAGCTGCCGCCGTTCCAATTGCGCCTGACGCCTGCCTGGCTGTACAACGCTCGTCGTCGAAACTGCGTGTGCCGAACAAGCTACAGTGTAGCTCAGAATCTAAGGAAAGTGAATGATGCGAGCGTTCCTTGGCTTAGTGAGAGACTGGACGGTGATGTGTCGATACGGGCCCCTTTCGACACCCAACTCAGGCGGCTCTCAAAAAAGAGGATGGCTCTTTGCTGCTGCCCCAGGAAGTAATTGACACTTGCGCAAACTCGAGAAGAAGCGGCTTCCTTCTGCAGGGAGACTTCCGATGTCTGTGCTGTGCCAAGTCTCGGCGAGTTGCTTTACCTGTTCGTGCCGGAGAGTGACAGCTTGGACAGCGTTGCCTCGGGAATCGTGAACGACCTACCGCCAGCGCTGGAGCAGGCCACCGAAATGGTTTCGGGTTTCTGGCAAGCAGAAGCTCTCAGGTCGTATCTGCAAAAGGCCGTCCTTCGAACTTGCTGCCTGGGACGCTGACAGGCAGGTGTGAAATGTATACTCGCAAAGGATGGCACGGATGGAGGCCTGGTGGCAAGAGATTGCAGAGACAGGTGGTGGAGCGGTGCATCTGCTTTCGGAAAGAGTACCAGCAACTGTAAAAGCTAAGGCTTGCAAGAAGGCTGTTAGGTTTTAGAGCTTACAGAGCTCTGGGGAGTGCGAGTGCGCTGTGAGTGCAATCCACGGTGTCGGCTGCTGGTATGAACCTGAGGAGAGACCATTCGCTTGATGATGGAAATAACAGGACACTTGGTTCACGAGTTGTTGCTGTGGATCATGTTTCTGAGCTTTCGTTGCTACAAGCCATTGCCAGCAAAGGCCCAGATTGGGCTCAAGAAACCATGCAGAACCATCAGCTTCAGGTCTTAACATGTCACACCGCCATGTGAAGGCTATGAGCTGAGTGCCTTCCTTCCCAACCAGACCAGCCAGGCAGAGCCACACAATGAACCGCATGCCAGAACAACATGTCAGCATCTCGCATGCCGGGGTGCCAGTGCCAGGAGATGGAATCTGCCTTGTCAGCGCTGCCGCCGTTGGTGGCACCTCTGGGGGAGACTTGCTTGGCACAGAATTCAGATGGACAGTTTGAGGTCTTGACTCTCAGATATGAAGCCGCCGATCAAGAAGTTTCAAAGCACTCCTGAGCAGCCAAGGCGCAGAAACAGCATCTTGGCCAAGAGACTGCTCGAGACCAGCCCCAGCTTCAACAGTTCTGCTCTTGCTATACTAAGGTATGATGCTGTGCACCAGTGCTTTGGCTGCAAGATGAGGTGGTTAGAGTGATGAGCTGGAGTCTTCATCTGTCAACTCATGTGTAGCCCTAATGCATGGTTCGCCCAGCTAATCCGACTGGCTCAGAAAGCCCGAAGGAAAGTGAAGGAGTTCTTTGAGATCAAGTGGATGCACAAAATCCCGAAGATCTTGAACAAGCATCTCCTGAAGATGGGGGTGGATGCGGACACCTCCGTTGCTCGTCGGTGACATCATGTCTGGCCAGTGTCAAGGCTAGTTCTGCCGGCATCTGCCGGCTTGGGTAAGGTTGAGCCCCCTCCACCGTCTTTGCCGAAGCCAGACAAGCTGCCTGCGCCAGACGGCCTCAAGCTCTTCCTCAGGGAGCCTTGGTTGGCTTCAGCAGCTCCAGAATTTTTTGTAAGAACATGGTAGAACATTCGGAGTGGATAGCTGAGACTGAGACCCAGGTGGAGCTGCCGAGCAGGCTTGATATGGGCAAAGCTGCGGACTCGAGCCTGACAGAGGAAGGCATCAAGAACATGAGCCAAGCCAATTTCCTTCGATTGATCCGTCCGAAGCTGGAGGCACGGGTTTCCCACGGGTTCTGCTGAAAAGAGTCCTGCGTGCCCTCATGTTCGAGGAGCACGTCGCCAGAGCAATCCGCGTCGCTTGCCGTGATTGCACCGGATACGTGACAGTTCTCAGTTCATTCAGTGGCCGCAAGTACATGGAGAGCACAGCTTGAAAGGCGACGTCGGAACACTCAGCATGTCGTGTAGGGGAAGATCGACGTTTCAATGCTTCCTCGTGGCTATGACACGGGTGATGTTTGAGCTACTTTACAACGTATTAGGGAGGCCGCGCAAGAATCCCAGCTGTCTAGTCAAAACCTCAATACCTTTGACGTGCTCCATGCTGAGCGCTTGCATGGCTTTGCTATCCATTGAGTTCAACGTTTCCCCAAAAAGATCCTTCGACACGTCACGGGGCCTGCATGGACAGCTGTTGTGTTGCGACCCCACGAAAAACGTTGTAACGAGAATTTCTTTGTGGGGAAGCGTAGGAAACACATCTGCAGTGCGAGTGTTATGCGGCTTATGCCGTCACGTCTCCGGGACCCTTGCGGCGAGTCCCATGGCGGAGACTCATGACAAACATCCCCTGCTCTTTCAGTGAAGCGCTTTGGGCATCGGTGAGAAGCCGTTTCTTTTTTTGTTCTCTCTCTCTCTCTTTTCAAGGAGAAGCTCGGAGGTGCTTTTCCGTTCGATGGCGAGCCCCGAAGTGTGGGGCCCCAGCTGGTGGAGCAGGGGTTTCATGGATTTTCCAAGAAATGAGCCATGCGAGCCATTTGGGCCACAACAAAGCAAGCATCAAAAAAAGCCACGAGGCGATGCGGATTTCGGCCAGCACTCGAAGCACAGCTTCTGGCTGCCGCTGAGTGTCCGCAACGTGGACGAGGCGAAGGCGCTCGAAAAGATCAGAGGTGAGGAGTTTGCAGGCGCCCGTCTGCCTGGGGACTCTTTGGGTGTCTGTCGAAGTTGTGTTCCAGAACTTTCCGCAGCAGGAAACTTCTCGCAATTCCTCCGATCACTGACAGCACTGTCGTCAGGCACGCAGGACACAGTTCCTTGTAGACTGTAGACACAGCCAATGCGGCAATGCTGCAGGTGGCGTGGGTGGCCTGGTGCATGCCTCGGATGGCCTCGGATCCTTCCGCTTTGTCATTGGCTATCTCTGAGGGCTCGGTGGCCGCTGACCTACGCGCTACGGTACGAAGCTCTCTCCTGAAGGACTTGCATACAGGCTGCAGGGGAACTGACAAAGGTTCTGGAGAAGGGGAGGCTTCGGGATGTTGAGAAGTTTCTGGGGAGTGTGGGCGGTTGTCGTTCAGAGTGCCTGTCCCGACATCAGGTCCTTCCCACACCAATTCTCTGCATCCAGATACCGGGCCAGACACAACAACTCTTGTTTTGAAGCCCCTTCCTGGCAGCACTCCAGCGGCCAGACTCGCGGCCAGACAGCCCCATCACCAACACAGAAGATCACAGAAGCACGTGCCACAGGGGAACAACCTCACGAGAAGCCATCTCCTGTGGGAGCTCGTGGCCTGTGGGCCATGTACGTGCAATGTGCACGCCTGACACAAGACCACGGCCGCTTCAAATGCATCGCGCCCAACTTGCCCAGCACGAATGCATCTTCAACGAGACCCGCTGCACGATCAGGAGTTTGCTGACGCTATGGGGAGTACGTGGCGGGTGGCAAAGAATGCACGCTGGAGCCAATCGTATTGAAGCGTGCTTCGAGACAACGACAACGTTTCCTCGTTTCAACGGCCCGCGGGAGGAGAGCACAGTCGTGTAGCTGAAGTCGGCTTGAAAATTCAGGTGTCGCCTCAACCAGGTTGTCCTTGACCAACGGACACATCAATGAGTAGGGAGACACGAACAAGGAAAAGGAGAAGAAGAAGAGAGGGGGCACATGGTCGAACAGCGACCACGCTGGATACAGATTCTGGCGAGACGCAGAGTCAAGCAAGCCCCAAAGAAAGAAAGGAAACAGAAAACGTGCCCCCCAGAAAGAAGGAAAGAACACGAGTGACGATCTAATTTGACCATGCAGCTGCAGAAAGAAGCAACAGAGCGAGTGGAGCTTGTGAGACAAAGGGTCGGAGAGATGAAGAAATCGAGAAAAACTGACGGAGGGAGGAGGGACAATTCAAAGCTTCGCACTGCCCTGGAGATCTTGCGCGCCGCGTTGCTGAGCTCATCCCAGCAGAAGTTCAGGTTCCCTCCTGAGATTTTTTCGTTTGAGTCACAGAGTCGCACAGATGGGTCACCACGTCCGGATGATGGCCATGTAGAAATATGAGTCTGGGGATGAATGGTGGGAGAGTGTGGCGAACATAAAGTCTGCAAGCCTGCACATTGCTTTCGCAACAGAGATGTCTGCTGCCGACGGCCTAGACATGTTAGAACACCCGGCAAACAACGCAGCTTCTATTTCCAGCAGGGTATCGTTAGTGTTTGGCATGCGATAAGCTTCAGCAACGGCCCGTGTAGTAACTGGTATTGACAAGTAAATTCTCTTTGTCGCCGCCGTGCTGAGTTGTGATTTGCAGTTGTGGTTGCAATCGTAAGCATAGCAGCAAAGGCTCACAAGGCTGAACTTAGTCCCTTGCACGGACTGGAAACTTGCTCCATACTGGATCCTCAGGCCGTGAGCAGCTCCGCGTACGACTGGCTCCAAAAATATGCTCCCAGTGGCATTTGTTGCAGAAGCGAGAAGAAAGGCTCAAAAAAGACATCTACAGATGAGGCCGGTGCTCTGGCTCTGCAGGCTCGGCTCTGCAGGCTCGTGGAATTATGTTGTTCAATTCTGCAGGTTTTCTGGGTCGTCTCATCTGCCTCAGCGGGGCCCAATGGCCCTGCTGGCCTTTGCCCTGCCATCTCAGCACCTCGGCATGACATGTGTCGCTGAACTGCGATGTGAGCTTGGATCAAAAGCATGTGGTACCCGAGGAAGAAGCGAATCCACCATGCGCCGCTTCCGTGGGGTCTCAGGACGCAGTCGCGCTGCATCATCGCCCATACACCGCAGCTTGGCCAGAGTATTTTGCAGAGCATTCTTGGGAGACTTGGAGAAGTCGAGAACAAATGCAATGCCGCTTCTCATTGAGTTTGCACATCCTTGCTGTCTATCTAGTCAATGCTAAGGAATGCTTCAACCTGGCCGAGCTCACGAGCAAGGCGTTGTCCACGTGATCTCACGCGGGTTCTGCCAAGAGAGCAGCGCATTTTCGTTGCGAGTTTGCAAGGATCCAGAGCTGACGGCCGCGAAGATTGAGTCCAAGTGCGGATCCTGACCTGCCGTGTCGATTGGAATGGGGCCTGGGAGCCAGCACGAGCAACGCCCGCAAAAAAAGGAGCAAACGGGGAGCAGCATGCGTAGAGAACCGTGCTTCTTGGAACCTTTGGTTGTGTGGCTGCAGGCTTTCATTTCGGCAAATGGTATCAGTATCGATTGCCGGAGCCAGAGAAAGCCTTTGCTTTGTCGAGCCCTGTCCTGTCGGCTAGCCGGCTAGTGCTGTCTCTCGCAAGCCAGGGACACGGAGACTGTTCTACCAGATCCGTGACGTACAGGTGCAGCGGGGAAGATGAGTTTCTTTAGGCACTTTCAAGCAGGCCCCCCTCACATTGTTATTATGAGACACGTGTTGGCATGAATGCGCAACAAGCACGCCTCCCATTTCATCAGCTTCAGCACAGGAAGCTGAAGAGGGACAGCGCCCAGAAGTAAGAGAAGCACATGACCCGCAGATGCTCTCAGAATACATTGAACAGAAATGGAGAAAGCCATGAACACCTCTCAATTCCATCAGTGGGCGCTTGGGAGTGAGGTGGCTCTGTTGTGGCTCTGTGTTATGCGATTCTGCCAGTTGTCTGATACCATCCACAGTGACCAGCCGTGCTTTGGTGTCGCGGTTGGCAGTTCTCCGCTTTTCTTCGCTTGTGATTTCCTAGTGCTCATTCCTATCCCTGTCATGCGGCCAGGCTGGCTTGCCCAAAGTTTGGGACTTCTTTGCCAGTTGGATGCAGGCACATGCGTGACGCAGCCGAATGAATCAGGATTCCAGCGCAGGAAGTGAGCAATGTTGTAGTGGTCGTGTCATGATCGTGGTCATCGCCGTCGTTGTTGTGGTGGTTGTGGTGGTTGTGGTGGTTGTGGTGGTTGTGGTGGTTGTGGTGGTCGGAAGAAGCCGGGTTTCTTTTTACAAGCGTCATGAGCTCTAGATGTTAGCCTTGGTTCGGCAGGTGCCCATAGCTGGCCCCTTGCTGGGTTAGAATTTCGAGTGCCTTTCGTTGGAGGGGTTAGGTTTGAATTTGCAGGCCAGCTACGGCGAGCCGGCAAAAGCAAGCCGAACTTGGACAGACTCAATATCGGAAACCCTGTCACATTGGGGCAGATTTATCGCTGTTTTTGCAAAAAAGGTTTTCGCACCCGTGCGTGACATTCAACAGTCCAACTGTAAACTGGTCCCCGTGCCCGCCGCGTCTTACTTGTTTACGCCCGCCCCCGTCCCCTACTCTCCAAACAGCTAGCCTTTTATTGACAGTGGGGGAAACAATTTCTGTGGTCGGCCCCAAATGGGCACACTGTAAGACATGAAATTGCGCGCACAAACTTCTTTTCAAATGGATCGACAAAAGATAAAATCCAAATTCTTCTTGTAAAAACAAGATGATTCTTGCTAACTTTTCTGGCTTAAAAATCAACATGTCCAAAAACACTTTCTTTTACCACGGGCAACATAAAACAGAAAGTTTTTTGTTGCAAAACTTGTTTCAAAGTTGCTACTTTTTAAAATTCATGCGTGCCTTGGGTTTTGGGGAAGGGTTGAGGGAACTGCAGACCGCAAGAGGCCTCGTCTCGACGCACCATCCGCTCTCGATATCTAAGGAAGGGGTGGTAGGGGTACGCATTCCAGCCCAAATAAAAAATGATTCTCCGTAGCGAGATGTTGACAGGTTCTGATTCTTTTCGCTCTTTACTTACAGAGTAATTTATTCTTTGTCTTCTTTGAGTTTTGCTTCTGATTGCTTTTTGCCCGATTTCACGGCGACGACGGCGGCTATTGTGGCAGATTGCCTGCATCACCAATCTCGGGCATGTGTGTTCAGTGTTCTTGCATGTCAGGCCAACTCGCCGCAGCTCTTTCCCTTCGCGCTTCGGGTGTGAGATGCCGCAAAAAGGCTTTCCTGTCCAGGAGACGTCCCAGCTTGAAGTTGTGAGTGAAGTTGTGTTTCGATCTGTCACACTATGTCAGAGATGTGGCTGCACACGAGGAGTTATCCGCTGCTGCTGCGGCTCAGAGGGTATTTGGACTCGTAGCATATGGGGGCGGCCTGTCACTGAGCCCCATTGGTACAGGCTATGATACGTTGAGCAAGAAAATCACCAAAAGCTTGGGCTTGAGAGCAGCATCTGTACATCAGCGGTATCCATACGACGGGCTCCGATTGCGGTGCCCGGGCTCTGCAGGGTGATGGCATCGTCACTGAGCCAATCGATGTTTCACCAAAGCAGAAGAGCGCTGCCCGCTCTAAACCTTGAGAGTCGAGACCCTCGGCAGTTTGTGCCAGTATGAGAGTCGAAGCTGCAACTGCAACCTCTACGCCCACCAGGAGATGAACCCACAATTACTTTGCATCGCACAGGTTGCAGATCTCTTTTTGCAGCTGTATCGCATGAAGAGATGGTATGCCTAACGTTGGGTGCGGTGGGCAGACCACGTAATGTCGCAAGGGCATCAGTAGAAAGCAGCAAAGGGGACAGTACTGAGACTTTGGAGACACGATGGCACCGCACCTCAAAGGACTTTTACCATGCGAGCTAATCACGGTCAGTGTGGTGGCCGTGAATTTCACGACTGTGAACTGGCGAGAGTCGCCGACCATCTGCCCCAAGGGCACTACGCTCCGTCATTCTGAGCTATTCCCAGGCAGCCTGCGCCGCGCAGGCGCGCCAGGCGGGTCTGCCAGCTGGGAGGTCCAAGAGATTGAGAACGGCGAGCCTTCAATGCTGGAGTGGTCGGTGGCCACAAGTGTGCTTGTGCTACCTGCAATGCTTGCAACATGCTCGCACGCCGCGCGTGCTCCGCTTTCCCCGCAGCCGTCGTTTTCGTTTTCGTCAGGCCTGGCATTTCGAAGACCGCGAGGGCCGTTTGGAACATGACAGACTGTCTGTCATGTTCCAAACGGCCCTCGCGGTCTTCGAAATGCCAGGCCTGACGAAAACGAAAACGACGGCTGCGGGGAAAGCGGATGACAGATGTTCAAGGTTTGTGAGCGACTGCCACGTTTTCGGGGGTCGTCGAAGGTGGCATGTAGAAACCCCGCCAGGCCAGAGATCTGTGGAACTGGAAGAACCCCTTCACCAGCTACGCCAGGGAGATACGGAACTTCCAAAACGTTATCGAGGAGACAAAACTTTAATCTTCTCGATGACGTTTTTGAAGTTGCGGATCTCCCTGGCGTAGCTGGTGACGGGGTTCTTGACGGCCGTGTGCTTGTCCCACTTCCAGATGATTATGGCCGCGCTGATGCCTTAGTTGCATGGTAACTTGCCTACCTTGGCGTAAAGAGCATTTGGCCGACTACCACTAAACTAGAACTTAGGCGAGGTACTCAGCAGTCCTTCTACTCCGTGGCCTTGTTCTCGCTGGGGAGCAACACTGACAAGGACATTGCAAGCTGAATCCGAAGAGGCCGCGTTGCTGTGGGAACTTGGAAGGCACAAGCCAGGCCGGCAAGCGCAAGTTGTCCGAGTTCACCTTCAACGCGCCTTGAACGCGCGAGAACTTGGACACTGACTGTTTCCTTAGCCTGGCCATCACAACGTCAAACTTACGAGTCGCTGGGTGCGAGGAGTGCGGGTACCATGAAGAAAGCGCTGATGCTTGCAATGGGAACTGCAGCACTGACTTACCAGCTGGTTGGTCTGATCAGATGGCGTGAGCGCACGCCTCGCGGGCTTGCGTCCTGGGGCGGAGGGCTTTGATGCACAGGTATCACTTTATCGGCGTCCGGTTCAGTGCGACCTGTTCATCAAAGCCCCTCCACCCCGGGACTGTAAACCTCAATGTAAGAAGTGGTGCTTTTACGATGGACATCGCATTTTGCCACGGTTCTGGAAGGCGTGGCAAAAGACTTCGTGGCCGCATCTTCAGATGAAACGGCGGTGTCAAGTTACGCTTTGAGGCCCAAGAGGCTCATGCATACGTAGTTCTCTGCTTTTCCGCCTCTCTGAACAGAGTCTATACAGAGTTCTTCAAGCTCAAGCCTCTCGACCATGCGACTACAACGGTTACCCTGAGGACAACCTTGGTCTCATTGGTTCATGCGCTTGAGACTTGAGATGTAGATGCAAAGAAAGAGGAGTTGGAGCTTGAGAGCCGGCACGCTCCAGCGGCTCCTTGTTCTATTCCTGACGTGTGCCTGCCTCGAGGAAGCGAGCGAAGCCTACCGAACGAAGAAGCCTGCAAATGAGCAGAAGTGCGTCCAAAAGGAGCCAGCCCAATCACTGCCGGCAAGCTGGGCAAGCTTCAGCGCCAAACCTGAGTCAGAGCCTGTTGAGTTTTCATGGTCTTCATCTTCTGCGCAGAGTCTTGCTGACAGCTTCGCAACCAGGTCGGACTGGAATGGGCCATGGGCCAGTAGCAGTAGATTGAAGCTGCCGCATAGCTTAGCTGCATCCAATAGCCGTCGCCCAGACAGTAGTGGGGTGCTTCTACCAGATCAGTGGTTCCAGCAACATTTCTGACGGCAACGGTCTCAAACTGCTGCCATGTCACCTGTAAATTCGCCAATCGACCTGCCATGGCCTTAAAGGGCGAAAATAGGACACAGAAATGTGCAGAAGCTGGGAGACTCAATTTGTTTCTAAGGCCGGTGTGGTGGAGGGGGTCGGAACTGCTGGCTATCTGCCACGCAGGGGCCGCCGTCTTGCTTCTCGCAGCCGTGCACCTGCCCCGTTTGTCTGCGCGGAGCAGTGCCGGAGGGAGCGAAGCTCGGATGACTGACGCTCAAGAAGTCGCACCATCAGCGCCGTCCGCCACCCAAACCACCGCCACACCAACAGAACCAATCGAATCTAGTCAGTGAGGACAAGCTCTATGGAAGGGGGGCTTTCAGGTGGCTTTCTGTCACTAGGTAGGGCGACCTCCCAATAGCATACCCAAAACCTCGACGGCACAAGACTTCCGATGCTTGCTGCAGTAGAAGCCACAAGCCTACAAGCCCAAGCCCTTTATCCCCAAGCCCTCAAACCCAAGCCAATCTATTGAATCTAGTGACCCTTTTGAATCTATTGAGTCTTTTGAATCTTGTGTTTGTGGCCTTTGCGATTTCTGAGTCGGTCTTCCTTTTGCTTTTGACTTGGGTCCGTCTTGGTATATCTTGGTCCACGCAGCATGGGCACGGCGCGGCAGGTGTTGGCGAGGTATGCGCGGGGTCGACGCCAGCAGGCGGGTAGCAGAATTGGATACATTCACAACAGAACAAACGTTGACAAGAGAGAGATGTTAATATCACGATTCAAACTCTAAAGTGCTGGTTAGGAGCAAACTGGACGTTTGAAATGAATGATGCTTGGATAAAACTTACCAATTTCGTTCAAATGTCAATCATGGCTGCATTTAAAATTGACCAAGAGCATGCACCACTTCCATTGTCGTTAATAACTAAACTTGACTCACTTTTTATCACAAACTCAATAAGTTCTAATGAAAAGGAATTATTCAAACCAATATCGGGCGACACATATATATATATATACATATACATGGTAACCCCCCCCCCCCAAGACCTACCTCAAGATCAACGTCTCCATAAAAGCAGCAGAGAAGCCTGAGGTTCCACTTTGTACCAATTCTTTGCATCCCATCGGAGGCAAAGCCCACAAACATGGGCATTTTCTTTGGAAACCGTGAAGAGAATTACAATCACAAGCAAGCTGTGTTCCCAAGAAATCCCAATGTTCGTAAGGCTTTCCTCCTATTGAATGCAAAGAAGAGGTAGAATCCAAGAAACATTCACCATACCCGATAATCTAAGGGAGTCCATCCAAGAAACATTCACCGTACCCATGCCCCTTAATCTATATGAAAGGATAATAGAAGGGAGTCCAAGGGAGGCTTTTACTATTCCCCGTAATTTCTTTTCAGGGGTATGCCCTACCCATACCCCTTAACCTATATGAACGGATAATATAAGGGAGTCCGAGGGAGGCTTTTACTAAACCCCTTAGTTTCTTTTAAGGGGTATGCCTTAGGGGTATGTTGAATATTTCTTAGACAGATAAACTACCCACACATGTATGTACATTTTCCGTGTGTGTCTAGCATAAGAAAGGATGGTAACAGCAATTGTTCGAGACACACTACGAACCAAACAAAAAGATGCAAAACCATGGGACACGATGACCCGAACATAGGGAACTAGTCTCCCAATTTTGTGTGTTTGTGTGTGTTTTTTGGTTTAGGTTTGTGTTACTAAAAAAAGCTCACTCAACAACAAAAACCAACAAAAACAAAAGTTTGGGACACCATGACCCGGACCTGGGGGACTAGTCTTCCATTTGTTTTGTGTTTTTTTGGTTTTGGGGGAGACTACAAAAACAAAAGTTTGGGACACCATGACCCGGACCTGGGGGACTAGTCTTCCATTTGTTTTGTGTGTTTTTTGGTTTTGGGGGAGACTGTGACCTGGAGACGGAACCAAAAAGATATACTGTATGCTGTACGAAACGCCGTAGCGCCCACCCAAAAAACACATGTAGAACCAACATGTGGGGAGACTAGCGCACTATCTGCGGGGCACAGTCTCCGCAACCCCCCAAAGACACAAAAAGCAAAATTTGGGAGACCAGTCCTCTGGGTTCAGGTCATGGTCTCCAAATATTTTCTTTGGGGCTTCGGGAGACTGTGACCTGCACATGGAACCAAACAAAACTCCCCCAAAACCAAAAAAACAACAAAAAAACAAAAAAACAAAAAACACCAAAAAACCAAAACAACCAAAAAAACAAAAAGACAAAGAAACCAAAAATCTCGGCTTGGCCCAAACCAAAAACACCAAGAAAAAAAAAAAACAAAACCAAAAAACCAAAAAAAACAAAAGAACCAAAAAAACCAAGAACAAAAAAATGAAAAATCTCGGAGGGCCTGGCCCAAACCGAAAAGACCAAAAAAAAACAAAAAAAAGCAAACACGACCCGGGCCCTTTTATGTTGATTTTTTTTGTTTTTTTTTGGTTTGGGCCAGGCCCTCCGTGTTTTTTTTGGTTTTTGTTGTTTTTGTTCTTTTGTTTTTTTTGTTTTTTTTTGTTTTTTTTTTTTTTTTTTTCTCTCGGAATCGTGCGTTTTTTTTTGGGGGGGGGGGCTAGCATATTATATATCTATATATATAATGGGTGTATATGTCAAACTAGGAGATAATCAATCGCTATTTTGATTAAATAGTAATCCATTAATCTTTTATCCAATGCATCCAATCTTGTTCTAAACATGCTATTCTGTATATTTATTTGTAAAAACCATATTAATTGTAAACGCTTGCGCGAGGGGTGCGGAAGTTTTGAGGGGGTCCCATGAGGGGGTGACAGGGGAGGGTCTCAAATCCAGTTTGAGGGGTCCCAGGGGTCCCAGGGGGGTTTCACGGGGGGTCCCACAGGGGGGCCCCAAAAAGGCCCAATTCGTGCGTTTTTGGGCCGCCGACAGGCGGGACCCCCCACGGCATCGGTTTGCATCGGGGGGGGGGGGTCCAGTCAGAAAAATTTGCATGGAGGGGCGGAAGGGTTGGGTTAGGGGGAAGGAGGCCCGATCCGGGTCTGCTTGTTCCAGACGCTTCTCGGCAGGAACAAATGCTGCTGTTTGAGGGCTTAAAGAAATGAAAATAAACCAAATTATAAACTAAAAACACAGAGATAGCGCAGTCATCCATGTTAATGTGCCTTTCCATTGCACATCGAATGATTTGTTACCCTTGCCTACGCGTCCAAAAGCTTTGCTGCAGCATGCCCGCTGCGTGGTCATCGGAGTCGCCTCAGGCTGAGGTTGAGGATGGCCATGACATCGAGGAGGGTTTGCAGGCGACCGCCGTCTGCAGTGCCTGATATGCTGCTTCGGCTTGCAGCTTCTTCCCAGACTCTTGACATCTTTTTGAGGTCGGCTCGGGCGGCATGGCAGAGGGTGTGCAGCAGGCGGAATACCTCGTAAGTCTTCTAGTACTTTGTTGAGCACGTCCGGGCACGTGTGTGACAGTCTGGATTGAAGGCGAACTCGGGCAACTTCTTCCGCTCTCCGCCTGGCTTGTGCCACCCCAGCCAGGCACGTGGGGTCCCTCTTGCAGCGACGCAGCGTGACGTAGTCTTGCTGAAGTGGTCTTTGCGGAGGTGGACGGCCCTCAACCCGGCCTCCTGACCTTGGAGCAGGCAAGCGCCTTGCTGGGTCAATGTCCGTGTGCTCCGTGTATCTCTTTAATGCACAGGTGTCGCTGTACCGGCATGCTCTCGCGGCGGCCGCTTTCGGCGTACCAGGGGACATGCAGCAGGCCGAGTGCCTTGTTGAGCGCATCCGGGCACGAGTGTGACAGTCTGCGTTGCAGGAAGACGACACCTTGCCGCCCGGCCTATGCCTCCCGAACCAGGCAGAAACCGGTTACACCCTTACGGGGACATAGCCTTGCTGAACTAGTTGTAGAGGTGAGTCCCGTTGGGACACTGTATGACACTGTATCTTTCCTCACTACCCCATTACCTGCTCCCACTCCCGCGATGACAAAGCCTCTGCCAGTGCAATTGCCAACAGTATCATTGCATATCATTGCTCTTTTTTGCTTGACTGTTTAGTTTCTGTCAAGCGTCTACTTGGGGTGACGTGTGTTCTCTGCCTCCTGCTGTGAGACCGAGTTGGCGCCCACTGCCCGCCCCCAGAGAAATGTCTGCAAAGAACAGCGCTGGCCACATCAGCGTCGGAGGTGGAATGCCAGCCCGTCTCGCCGTTGCAGGCAGAGCATTGCAGGATGTTCTCGTGAGATGCGGTCGGTTTAGGGATGCAACCGGCCGCCTCTTGACATCTGTTGGAGGTGGGCTCTGGCGTGGCACAGGGTGTGCAGCAGGCGTCGTACCTCGTAAGACTTATAGTACTTTGAGCACGTCCGGGCACGTGCGTGACAGTTTGGATTGAAGGCGAACTCGGGCAACTTCTTCCGCTCCCCGCCTGGCTTGTGCCACCCCAGCCAGGCAGAGACGTGCGGTCCCTCTTAAAAGGACGCAGTGTGACGGAGCCTTGCTGAAGTGATTTTTGTGGAGGTGGACAGCCCTCAACCGGGCCTCCCGACCTTGGAGCAGGCAAGCGCCTTGCTGGGGCAGTTTAGTTGGGGAAATTGCATGTGCATAAAGGTTGTCCGAGGTTGTTTTGAGCGAAGGCCCGTCGGAGTTCTACGATGCGTGCTGGATACTGGCACGTATCTGGAGGGCTGTGCTGCATAAATGGGGAAGTATTTGGCAACCGGCTAGTCAATCATAATGTGTCCGTGTGCTCAGGTGGCACTTCATCGGCGTGCTCTTGCGTTGGGCGGGTTCAGCGTACCACAGGACGTGCGCCAGGCCGAGTACCTTGCTGAGCGCGTCCGCGCACATGTGTGAATGTTGAAGGTCACCGACAACTTGCACTTGCCGCCTGGCTTGTGCCTTCCAAGCCAGGCAGAGTTGCACCCTTGCAGGGATGTAGCCTTGCTGAACTGTCTTTGTAGAAGTGAGTCCCGTTGGGACACTGCATCTGCAGATGAGTCAATGACCACTCCCAGCCCCGCCCTCCACTTCGCCACCTCACCCCCTTTCCCTCCACCGCCACATTACCCACTGAGAATATCTCCTCGTTTTGTCGTGTGTAGCTTGAGCACGCGCCTGGCTTTCTGCCATGCATCAGCAGCAGTCATTGCATTTGGATAGTGACCGCAATGTTACCGCTGTGTTACCGCTATGTTACCGCTCGAAGGCGCCTTGAGTCATAGGCAAAAAGTAGAGTCCGCTGCGCGTCCGTTATCAAACTGGTAAAGGTAGCGGAGCTGTGGCTCCTTTAGTGGAGACAGTTCCTGCGGACCGTGCGACTTGGTGGTGAGAGTTCAATTTTCCTGACTCCGGACCGTTCGGCCGGGGTGCGAAACCGACAAGGATTGCGATTTGGTCGTGATTACTCTAAAGTTGTGATCGTGTGATGCAACGTTAGAGCGATCGTTCGTGGATCAGTCTGTGATTTGTTGGTATCTGCAAGATGTACGATTTGTCGTTGTGATTTGCTGGTACCTGCGTGGGGCATGGTAGAGTCCGCTTCGCGTCCGTATTCAAACCCACTCCCGCCCCCAGATGACAAAGCCGGTGACACCTCTGAGAGCTTTGCTGCTGTGATTTGTGCAATTGCCAGCACTATCATTGCTATGTTTGCTTGTCCGTTCTAAGTTTCTGTGAAGCGTCTGTTCGGTCTACTTGGGGTGACGCGTGTCCTCTGCCCACTGCTATGTGACTGAGTTTGCATCCCGTGCCCAGCCTTCCGTAGCTGTGCCCTCTGCTCTGCGTCCCCAGAGAATTGCCGGCGTTTGCGCCCACGTTTCTGACGTCACGATCTGCAAAGAACAGCGCTGGCCACCGCAGCTTCGGAGGTGGAATCCCAGCCCCCATCGCCGCAGGCAGAGCATTGCAAGACGTGCTCGTGAGAGGCGGTCGGCTTAGGGATGCAACCGGCCTCCTCTTGACATCTGTTGGAGGTGGGCTCTGGAAGCATGGCGCAGGGCGTGCAGCAGGCCGAGTGCTTTGTTGAGCAGGCACGTGTGTGACAGTTTGGATTGAAGGCGAACTCGGGCAGTCTGCGCTCTCCCCCTGGCCTTTGCCGCCCAAACCAGGCAGAGATCGTTGTGTCCTTGCAGGGACGTAGCCTTGCTGAACTAACTTAACTGAGGTGGACAGCTCCCAGCCGGCCCTCCCGACCTTGGAGCAGGCAGTTGCCTGGCATGGGGTTCGTGTGGCACTACAGTCTACGGATGTCTACAGAAAGCAAGCTCCGCAAAAAACGCACAGGACCTAAGTGGAGAGCACGATTTCCACCCGTAAACACACGGGCCTAGGCGAGAGGGAGATTCGATAACAGTAGTTTGCGATGTTTCGAGGCCGCCAGAATTCGGGACGCCGCCCGCGGTCTGGTGAAAGTACGATTTCCGTCCAAAATGCGCGCGCGCAACTCGATCTAGCACTCCAAAAAGAATCTGAATGTAAGAGCCCCATAGTGTTGGCACACTGTTTGGGGGATAAGCAGTCATTCCGCGAGAAGCAAAGCCAGCATCGAGTGGCTTTGACACATCGGGAAACAAATGGTCTGGGCGGACATGCTGGGCGAGGACTGGTTAGAAGTACTTGGCGGCTTGTCATGGATATGTGCTGGGCATGTCACGGAGCAGGTACCAAGCAAAAAATGCCTTTTCGGGCATCACAGTGGCATCCGCAACCCTATGCTCCGGGCCTTGGTGTTCAAGCTTACTGGTGGCCTATGCGCTCTTGCCTAGGCGCCGTGCGCAATGACGTCGCCATCCTCGTAGCTTGTTGACTGTCGTCGCTTTGGGACGTCCGGAGCTCTCGTGGCTCGAAAGTCGTCGACTTTCGTAGAACAAGCGGAGTGCGCAGAGCACGTCTCTGACGAGCGATGTTCTATCATGCTTCGAATTTCTTCGTGTCTCCATGTGGTCTCTCGCTGTTTGGGGTCTACGCTGGCAGAACTAACAAGATCTCGGCCTCATACATCCTTATACCCATATACAACTACTAACACCGAGTACAACCCGAAGCCTATGGCCCCTCAACCAAAAGGCCTTTCTGCACTTGTCCCTGCGGAGTGATGCCCATAAAGGCTTTGCAGGGGTCAAAGACTACAAGACCCACGACGTGTCTTGACGAGTCCGCGACATGCTTATGACATACGCATGCAACCCCCGCGACATACCCCCTTGTGTTGACACAGAAGCCGTAACAGGGATGTGATAGGGTTCATTCATCGCGCGACTGAAGCCCGTCATGTCTTGTGCATGATGCCAGGAGTGGCAGCCGACATCGCCGGTATGGCGACGCCCGAACGAGCCGACTTCGCCCATCAGACTCTGGCGGGAGCAGGCGCGCTCGCAAGGCACTCCCAAGGCACTTTCGAGGCGCTCGCGAGGCGTGCGCCATGCACTTGTAACTAGAGTGCAACGCGATCGACGCGCGTGCTCCCCACGCCTCCCCCCAAGCTTCGCAGTTTCGTGTTTTCGTTTCGTCAGGCCTGGCATTTCGAAGACCGCGAGGGCCGTCTGGAAAATGACGGACAGACGTTCCAGGTTAGTGGGCGACTGCCACGTTTTCGGGGATCGTCGTAGGTGGCATGAAGAAACCCCGCCAGGCAAGAGATCTCTGGGACTGGAAGAACCCAGTCACCAGCTATGCCCTGGAGATCCGCAATTTCAAGAAAGTTATCGAGAAGATTAAAGAAGGCCGGCCTGCCAGCCTCTTCCATTCGTAGACTCGTTGTTTTGGTAGCAAAGTGTGCAGGCGGAGAGGGCATGTCAATGGCGTCTTCGTATGCGTCCGGTGCTTCGTCGCCGGCCTCCTCTACAGCGTGCCCAGCTTAGAGCGCGATACCGAAGAGGAACAAAGCACCCTACGTACCCTGTGACCAAAGCCGGATTGCAGGTCTAGTTGAGATGCTCCGGCTTTCCTGGCGTGCGCTCCTTTTGCAGGGTTGCTCAAAGCATGCAAGCATTCGCAGAAGCGCTCCGTCCATGGCTTGGTGGCCAGCATGGGCCTTCTGAGAACAAGTTTGGCACACAGCGTGCCGAGCCATCTGCGATGGGGAGGTCCTGTGCACATCAAGCTGACCCGTGAAAGCGATGGCCCATGAGCGCTGGCCCCAAGTCCCAACGTTGAAATGAGCACCTCGGGCTTAGGTCCCCGGGCACAGGGGACCTGCGCCCAGTTTGCGCATCCTTGCTGTCCAGTCAATGCTAAGGAATGCTTCAACCTGGCCGAGCACACGAGCAAGAGGCGTTGCCCACGTGATCTCACGCGGGTTCTGCCAAGAGAGCACCGCACGCAAGCTGGCAAGGCTCCGGATCTGACGGCCATGAAGACTGAGTCCAAGTGCGGATCCCGAGCCGCCGTGACGATGGGAATGGGCCCTGGGAGCCAGCACGAGCAACGGCGCCCCCGAGAAAAAGGAGCAAACGGAGAGGGACGGTGGTAGGCGAGCGTCCCATCTACATCTGCATTATCTACATCTGCTACGATTAGTACTAGTAATTCGGAGCAAATCTCACAACAAACATCACAAGTCCGGTGTATCTACCTTCGCTGCCCCTGCCATGGTCTGCCACCTTGGCTCAGAGGGTTTTTTATGCTTCGTGTCTGCAGCATGTGGGGACCGGGCCTGGTGCTAAGTCCGCTTGGTGCGTGGCAATGTCGGCATTAAGCCCCAGCTCAGCCCTTACAGTCCGACCGTCCGACCCACGTAGTCACACCTCATGACCAGCGAAGCCATTTTCTGTTTCTCACACACACCCGGCTGGCCCGGCTCACAACCTTTCCATATGACAAGGCTCCAGTTGCGGTGCCCTCTGCGGGCCAAGCCATCTCTGGATCATGGCCGCGTGCTTGTCCCACTTCCAGATGATTATGGCCGCGCTGGTGCCTTCGTTGCATGCCTACCTTGGCGTAAAGAGGATCTGGCCGACTGCGATTAAACCAGAACTTAGGCGAGGTTCACTGGCGTCACTAGCTTTGAGCCCAGCAGTCCTTCTACTCCGTGGCCCTGTTCTCGCCGGGGAGCGACGCTGACAAGGACATCGCAAGCTGAATCCGAAGGGGCGGCGTTGCTGTGGGAATTTGGGAGGCACAAGCCAGGCCGGCAAGCTCATCACCTTCAACGCCCGAGAATTTGGAGACTGACTTTTTCCTTAGCCTGGCTATCACAACGTCAAACTTGCGAGTCATCATGAAGTAAGCGCTGATGCTTGCAATGGGAACTGCAGCACTGAGTTACCAGCTGGTTGGTCTGACCAGATGCATGAGCGTGGCGTGAGCGCACGTCTCGCGCGCTTGCGTCCTGGCTTTGATCCGGTACAGTATTACAGTATTACCTGCTCATCAAAAGCCCCTCCGCCCCGGGACGCACGCCCACGACGTCAACGTAAGAAGTGGTGTTTTTACGGTGGACGTCGCATTTTGCCACGGTTCTGGAAGGCGTGGCAAAAGACTTCGGGGCCGCATCTTCAGATGAAACGGCCGGTGTCAAGCTACGCTTTGAGGCCGGAGAGGCTCCTCGCCCCGGCGACTGCCCGGGTTCTCTCCTCAAAGTTTGTGGCTTTCGAGCGCCTCTCGCTGCATTCGGATGCCAGCTTGGCTGCTTTTGACGCCTCGCTTCCATGTCGGTGCACCTGGAGCGCCCCGCTGCTTCATCCGACTGATGTGAGGCTCGGCTTGACGTTGACGAAGTTTTTAGCTTGACTTCTTTTCTTCCAGCTTTCTTCATCTGCTCTGTACAGGGTTTCCTGCAGTAGTGTGGCGCCGGCGAGTCTTTTTGCTTAGGCCGCTCGTCATTGCTTACGCCGCTCGTCATTGCTATCAGCATTCTTCAAGCCTCTCGACCATGCGCCTACAACGACTACCTGACGACAACACTGGTTTCTTTGGTTGATGCGCTTGAGACTTGAGATGTAGATTGTGCCTGCCTCGAGGAAGTGAGGGAAGCCTACCGAATGAAGAAGCTTGAAAATGAGCAGAAGGCACCAGGCATGTGTGTTCCAGAGAGTTTTCAACCGCCAAACCCAAAGCCCCTCTATTGAATCTGTTGACTCTATTGAAATCTGTGCTTTCGCACGGCTGTCTATGTCCCTGCAGCTTTTTCCACTAAATTTCCGTCCCTGAGTGTGGCGCGGCAGATGTTGGCGAGCTATGTGCGTGCAGCATGCCGCTGTGTGGTCATGGGGGCCTCCTCTGGCTGAGGTTGAGGCTGGCCATGACATCGAGGAGGGTTTGCAGGCGACCGCCGCCAGCAGTGCTTGATATGCTGCTTCGGCTTGCAGCTTCTGCCCAGACACTTGACATCTTTTGGAGGTCGGCTCTGGCGGCGTGGCGCAGGGCGTGCAGCAGGCGGAACACTTCGTAAGACTTATAGTACTTTGTTGAGCACATCCGGGCACGTGTGTGACAGTTTGGATTGAAGGTGAACTCGAGCAATGTGCGCCGCCTGGCTTGTGCCGGCCAAACCAGGCAGAGTCTGTGGGGTCCCTAGCAGGTAGCCTTGCTGAAGTGGCCTTGTGGAGGTGGACAGCCCCCAACCCGGCCTCCCGACCTTGGAGCAGGCAAGCGCATCTGCATAAACCATGCGTGCAGGCACGTATCTGGAGGGCTGTGCTGCCTAACTCGGGAAGTATCTGGCGTGTGCTGCGTGTATCTCTTTGATGCACAGGTCGGCATGCTCTAGCGGGCTCTTCTGGCATGCCACGGGATATGCAGCAGGCGGAGTACCTTGTTGAGCGCATCCGGGCACGTGTGTGGCAGTCTGCGTGGAAAGAAGACGACAGCTTGCACTTGCCACCTGGCCTGTGTCTTCCAACAAGCCAGGCAGAGACCGGTTGCACCCTTGCGGGGACGTGGCCTTGCTGAACTGACCTTTGTAGAGGTGAGTCCTGTTGCAACACTGTATCTCCAGATCAGTCAATGAGTCAATAAATACCACTCCCACCCCCTCCACTTCGCTGCATTCCACCCCCCTTCCCCAGACCTGCCTGCACGGCTGCAGTCGAACTCCGTCAACGCAGAGTGTCTCACAGGTGCCCGGATGCGCTGCTGCGCTCAACAAGGTACTCAGCCTGCTGCATGTCCGGTGGTGCTTGCGTGGCATGGGGTTCGTGTGGCATAGGTTGTTGAGTTGCATGGGTCTACCGATGTCTACAGAACGCAAGCTCTTGATTATGTCATAAGTTGGGGACGGGGGGATGCGTAGTGATGCAAACTGCGAAACATGCACGGGACCTGAGCGGAGAGCACGATTTCCACCCGTAAACAGACGGGCCTAGGCGAGAGTGTGATTCGATAACATCCACGAAGCCGAAAGCGTGTCATTTGCGATGTTTCGAGGGCCCCAGAAGACGGGTCGCCGCCCGCTCTCTGGTAAAAGTACGACTTCCGTCCAGCATGCGCCTGCCGCTCGAGGAATAGCGTCCGTGTACCCGCGGGCATCGACCGCGCAACTCGATCTATGGCCCTCCAGAAAACTCAACGGAAGAGCCGCCCCACAGTGTTAGCACGCTGTTTAAGCAATCATCCAGCGATTAGCAGGATCGGTGGCTTTGCCACCGTCGGCAAACGAATGGTCTGGGAGGAAGTGCTGCGCAAGGACTGGCGAGAGGTACTTGGCAGCTTGTCGAGGGCGTGCTGGGTATGTCGCGGAGCAGGTACCAAAAAAACATGCCTTTTCGGGCATCACAGTGGCATTGCGCTTGGGCCTGCTTAAGCACAAGCAGCACTCCCGGACTCTGACGTTATCGGCCCGCAACGCAACCCTATGGCCGGGCTTTGGCATTCAAGCTTATTCGTGGCCTACGGGCTCGCATAGAAGCGATGTTGGAAATCGTGCTCCCGCCTAGGCGCCGTGCGTAGCGGCGTCGCCATCCTCGATACTGCGAAACCGTCGTCGCTTTTTGACGTCGGGGCTCGCGCACTGCGAAACTGTCGTCGCTGTTGGTGTTTTTGGAGGACGAAAGACGACGCTTGTAGTACAAACAGAGTACGCGGAGGACGTCTCTGACGAGTGATGTTCCATCGTACTTCGAAGTTCTTCGGGTCCCCATGTGGTCTCTCGCTCTTTGGGGGCTAAGCTGGCAGAATGAACGAGATCTGGCCTTATACATCCTTATACCCGTATACAACTAAGACCGAGTACAACCCGAAGCCTATGAACCTTAACCAGTGACCAGCCCGCAACCACCGCCCCCCGAGCCTTTTCTCCGGGACAGCCCTCAACCCTAAGGCCTTTACACTTGTCCCGGCGGAGTGGGTGCTTCGGCGTGTGCAGGGGTGGCAGAGAAAAGGCTTGTAAAGGGCCTGTGTAGAGGGCCATAAAGGCTTTTCAGGGTTAAAGACGAGCCCGCGGCATCACATGCAACCCCCGCAGCCGAAATATGTTACAATGTTGGGATGTGATAGGACACATTCATCGCATAAATGAAGCCCGCCTTAGCCCGTCATGTCTGTGGCCAGGAGACGTGGCAGCCGACATCGCCGGCGACGCCCTGACTGACGAGCCTACTTCGCCCAACAGACTCTATTGGGCGAAGTCGGCTCGTCAGTCAGACCCTGGCGGGAGCGGGCGCGCTCGCGGCACTCCCAAGGCACTTTCGAGGCGCTCGCGAGGCGTGCGCAATGCACCTGCGGTGCGATTGCAACATTCTCGCACACCGCGCCGTTTGGAACATGACGGACAGACGTTCCAGGTTTGTGAGCGACTGCCGCGTCGTCGGGGATCGTCGTTGGTGGCATGCAGAAACCCCGCCAGGCCACAGATCTGTGGGACTGGAAGAACCCGGTCACAAGCCACGCAAAACTCATACATGACTTCCAATACGTGATCGAGAAGTCTCCTCGATCACGTATTGGAAGTCATGTATGAATCTGCGTGGCTTGTGACCGGGTTAAGATCAAAGAAGGCCGAAGCCTGCCAGCCTCTTCCATGCGAAAACTCATATTGTTTTGGTGTCAAAGAGTGCAGGAGGCGAGGGGATGTCAATGGCGTCTATGCGTCCGGTGCTTCGTCGCCGGCTTCCTCGACAGCGTGCCGAGCTCAAAGCGGCGAAAGACTTCGGGGCCGCATCGTCAGAAGAAGCGGCCGTGTCAAGTTACGCTTTGAGGCCCAAGAGGCTCCTCGCAGGCCCCGGCGACTGCCCGGGTTCTGTCCACTTCAAAGTCTTTTGGTTTTGGGGTGCTGCTGGCTCTTTTCGAATGTCCAGCTTGGCTGCTTTTGACGCCTCGCTTCCATGTCGGTGCACCTGGAGCGCCCGCTTGTTCATCTGACTGATGCACGGCTGGAAGAAGTTTTTTAGCTGGACTTCTTTTCCAAGGAGTGTGGCGCTGGGGATTTTTTTTGTTTCGGCCGCTCCTCCAGTGGTGAGCTGTTGGCTCCTCGGGCTTGCTCTTGCTTGTCGGCCTCCCGTCCGACCCGAGATTGCTATCGGCATTGCATACGTTGTTTTCTGCTTGTCCACCTCTCTGAACAGAGTCTATACAGACTTCAAGCCTCTCGACTATGCTGCAACGGTTACCCTGGCGACAACATTGGTCTCATTGGTTCATGCGCATGAGACTTGAGAAGTAGATGCAAAGAAAGCGGAGTTGGAGACGCTCCAGCGGCTCCTTGTTCTATTCCTGATGTGTGCCTGCCTCGAGGAAGCAAGCGAAGCCTGCTGAATGAAGAAGCCTGAAAATGAACAGAAGGTGTGTTCAAAGGAGCCAGCCCAATCACTGCCGGCAAGCTGGGCAAGCTTCAGCACCAAACCTGAGTCAGAGCCTGTTGAGTTTCATGGTCTTCATCTTGTTCGCCGAGTCTTGCTGACAGCTTCGCAACCAGGTCGGACTGGAATGGGCCATGGGCCAGTAGCAGTAGATTTAAGCTGCCGCATAGCTTAGCTGCATCCAAGAGCCGTCGCCCAGACAGTAGTGGGGTGCTTCTACCAGATCAGTGGTTCCAACAACATTTTTTTCACGGCAACAGTCTCAAACTGCCGCCATGTCTCCCGTAAATTCGCCAATCGACCTGCCGTGGCCTTAAAGGGCGAAAATAGGACACAGAAATGTGCAGAAGCTGGGAGACTCAATTTGTTTCTAAGGCCGGTCTGGTGGAGGGGGTCGGAACTGCTGGCTATCTGCCACGCAGGGGCCGCCGTCTTGCTCCTCGCAGCCGTGCACCTGCCCCGTTTGTCTGTGCAGAGCAGTGCCGCAGGGAGCGAAACTCGGATGACTGACGCTCAAGAAGCCATTCGCACCATCCGCCCCGTCCGCCACCCAAACCACCGCCACACCAACAACACCAATCGAATCTAGTCAGTGAGGAAAAGCTCTATGGAAGGGGGGCTTTCAGGTGGCTTTCTGTCATTACTCCCAATAGCATACCCAAAACCTCGACAGCACAACACTTCCGATGCTTGCTGCATTAGAAGCCACAAGCCCACAAGCCCAAGCCCTTTATCCCCAAGCCCTCAAACCCAAGCCAATCTATTGAATCTAGTGACCCTTTTGCATCTATTGAGTCTTTTGAATCTTGTGTTTTCGTGTGGCCTTTCCGATTTCTGAGTCGGTCTTCCTTTTGTCTTCTGACTTGGGTCCGTCTTGGTATATCTTGGTCCATGCAGTTTCCCACTAAATTTCCGAGCAGTCCCTGCATGGACATGGCGCGGCAGGTGTTGGCGAGGTATGCATGGGGTCGACGCCAGCAGGCGGGTAGCATGCTGCAGCATGCCCGCTGCGTGGTCATCGGAGTCGCCTCAGGCTGAGATTGAGGATGGCCATGACATCGAGGAGGGTTTGCAGGCGACCGCCGTCTGCAGTGCCTGATATGCTGCTTCTTGACATCTTTTGGAGGTCGGCTCGGGCGGCATGGCAGAGGGTGTGCAGCAGGCGGACTACCTCGTAAGACTTATAGTACTTTGTTGAGCACATCCGGGAACCGGTGTGACAGTCTGCATTGAAGGCGAACTTGAGCCACTTCCGCTCTCCGCCTGGCTTGTGCCACCCCAGCCAGGCACGTGGGGTCCCTCTTGCAGCGACGCAGCGTGACGTAGCCTTGCTGAAGTGGTCTTTGCGGAGGTGGACAGCCCTCAACGGGGCCTCCTGACCTTGGAGCAGGCAAGCGCCTTGCTGGGGCAGTTGAGTTGGGCAAATTACATCTGCATAAAGGTTGTCCGAGGTTGTTTTGAGTGAAGGCCCGTCGGAGTTCTACCATGCGTGCTGGATACTGGCATGTTTCTGGAGGGCTGTGCTGCCTAATGGGGACGCATGTGGGAACCGGCTGGTCAATGTCCGTGTGCTCCGTGTATCTCTTTCACAGGTGTCGCTGCAGCGGCATGCTCTCGCGGCGGCCGCTTTCGGCGTACCAGGGGACATGCAGCAGGCCGAGTGCCTTGTTGAGCGCATCCGGGCACGAGTGTGACAGTCTGCGTTGCAGGAAGACGACACCTTGCCGGCCGGCCTATGCCTCCCGAACCAGGCAGAAACCGGTTACACCCTTACGGGGACATAGCCTTGCTGAACTAGTTGTAGAGGTGAGTCCCGTTGGGACACTGTATGACGCTGTATCTTTCCTCACTACCCCATTACCTGCTCCCACTCCCGCGATGACAAAGCCTCTGCCAGTGCAATTGCCAACAGTATCATTGCATATCATTGCTCTTTTTTGCTTGCCTGTTTAGTTTCTGTCAAGCGTCTACTTGGGGTGACGTGTGTTCTCTGCCTCCTGCTGTGAGACCGAGTTGGCGCCCTCTGCCCGCCCCCAGAGAAATGTCTGCAAAGAACAGCGCTGGCCACATCAGCGTCGGAGGTGGAATGCCAGCCCGTCTCGCCGTTGCAGGCAGAGCATTGCAGGATGTTCTCGTGAGATGCGGTCGGTTTAGGGATGCGACCGGCCGCCTCTTGACATCTGTTGGAGGTGGGCTCGGGCGTGGCACAGGGTGTGCAGCAGGCGTCGTACCTCGTAAGTCTTCTAGTACTTTGTTGAGCACGTCCGGGCACGTGTGTGACAGTTTGGATTGAAGGCGAACTCGGGCAACTTCTTCCGCTCTCCGCCTGGCTTGTGCCACCCCAGCCAGGCACGTGGGGCCCCTCTTGCAGCGACGCAGCGTGTCGTAGTCTTGATGAAGTGGTCTTTGCGGAGGTGGACGGCCCTCAACCCGGCCTCCTGACCTTGGAGCAGGCAAGCGCCTTGCTGGGGCAGTTGAGTTGGGCAAATTACATCTGCATAAAGGTTGTCCGAGGTTGTTTTGAGTGAAGGCCCGTCGGAGTTCTACCATGCGTGCTGGATACTGGCATGTTTCTGGAGGGCTGTGCTGCCGAAATCGGGACGCATGTGGGAACCGGCTGGTCAATGTCCGTGTGCTCCGTGTATCTCTTTAATGCACAGGTGTCGCTGTACCGGCATGCTCTCGCGGCTTTCGGCGTACCAGGGGACATGCAGCAGGCCGAGTGCCTTGTTGAGCGCATCCGGGCACGAGTGTGACAGTCTGCGTTGCAGGAAGACGACACCTTGCCGGCCGGCCTATGCCTCCCGAACCAGGCAGAAACCGGTTACACCCTTACGGGGACATAGCCTTGCTGAACTAGTTGTAGAGGTGAGTCCCGTTGGGACACTGTATGACACTGTATCTTTCCTCACTACCCCATTACCTGCTCCCACTCCCGCGATGACAAAGCCTCTGCCAGTGCAATTGCCAACAGTATCATTGCATATCATTGCTCTTTTTTGCTTGCCTGTTTAGTTTCTGTCAAGCGTCTACTTGGGGTGACGTGTGTTCTCTGCCTCCTGCTGTGAGACCGAGTTGGCGCCCTCTGCCCGCCCCCAGAGAAATGTCTGCAAAGAACAGCGCTGGCCACATCAGCGTCGGAGGTGGAATGCCAGCCCGTCTCGCCGTTGCAGGCAGAGCATTGCAGGATGTTCTCGTGAGATGCGGTCGGTTTAGGGATGCGACCGGCCGCCTCTTGACATCTGTTGGAGGTGGGCTCTGGCGTGGCACAGGGTGTGCAGCAGGCGTCGTACCTCGTAAGACTTATAGTACTTTGAGCACGTCCGGGCAAGTGCGTGACAGTTTGGATTGAAGGCGAACTCGGGCAACTTCTTCCGCTCCCCGCCTGGCTTGTGCCACCCCAGCCAGGCACGTGGGGCCCCTCTTGCAGCGACGCAGCGTGTCGTAGCCTTGCTGAAGTGGTCTTTGCGGAGGTGGACAGCCCTCAACGGGGCCTCCTGACCTTGGAGCAGGCAAGCGCCTTGCTGGGGCAGTTTAGTTGGGGAAATTACATCTGCATAAAGGTTGTCCGAGGTTGTTTTGAGCTAAGGCCCGTCGGAGTTCTACCATGCGTGCTGGATACTGGCATGTTTCTGGAGGGCTGTGCTGCATAAATGGGGAAGTATTTGGCAACCGGCTAGTCAATGTGTGCGTGTGCTCAGGTGGCACTTCATCGGCGTGCTCTTGCGTTGGGCGGGTTCAGCGTACCACAGGACGTGCGCCAGGCCGAGTACCTTGCTGAGCGCCTCCGCGCACATGTGTGAATGTTGAAGGTCACCGACAACTTGCACTTGCCGCCTGGCTTGTGCCTTCCAAGCCAGGCAGAGTTGCACCCTTGCAGGGATGTAGCCTTGCTGAACTGTCTTTGTAGAAGTGAGTCCCGTTGGGACACTGCATCTGCAGATGAGTCAATGACCACACCCAGCCCCGCCCTCCACTTCGCCCTGCTGTGTCTGGAATGGCGAGGTATAGGGCCTTGTTTGCAAGAGGTACGATTTGTTGCCGGTGATTTGCTGGTGTTTGTCTGTGTCAAGCTTAAGATTTGTTTCCTGTGATTTGTTGGTATCTGCAAGATGTACGATTTGTCGTTGTGATTTGCTATCCTCTGAGAGCTTTGCTGCTGTGATTTGTGCAATTGCCAGCACTATCATTGCTATGTTTGCTTGTCCGTTATAAGTTTCTGTGAAGCGTCTGCTTGGTCTACTTGGGGTGACGTGTGTCCTCTGCCCACTGCTATGTGACTGAGTTTGCATCCCTTGCCCAGCCTTCCGTAGCTGTGCCCTCTGCTCTGCGTCTCCAGAGAATTGCCGGCTTTGCGCCCGCGTTTCTGACGTCACGATCTGCAAAGAACAGCGCTGGCCACCGCAGCTTCGGAGGTGGAATCCCAGCCCCCATCGCCGCAGGCAGAGCATTGCAAGACGTGCTCGTGAGAGGCGGTCGGCTTAGGGATGCAACCGGCCTCCTCTTGACATCTGTTGGAGGTGGGCTCTGGAAGCATGGCGCAGGGCGTGCAGCAGGCCGAGTGCTTTGTTGAGCAGGCACGTGTGTGACAGTTTGGATTGAAGGCGAACTCGGGCAGTCTGCGCTCTCCCCCTGGCCTTTGCCGCCCAAACCAGGCAGAGATCGTTGTGTCCTTGCAGGGACGTAGCCTTGCTGAACTAACTTAACTGAGGTGGACAGCTCCCAGCCGGCCCTCCCGACCTTGGAGCAGGCAGTTGCCTGGCATGGGGTTCGTGTGGCACTACAGTCTACGGATGTCTACAGAAAGCAAGCTCCGCAAAAAACGCACAGGACCTAAGTGGAGAGCACGATTTCCACCCGTAAACACACGGGCCTAGGCGAGAGGGAGATTCGATAACATCCACGAAGCCGAAAGCGTGTAATTTGCGATGTTTGGAGGCCGCCAGAATTCGGGACGCCGCCCGCGCTCGGGTAAAAGTACGATTTCCGTCCAAAATGCGCCACTCGATCTAGCACTTCAAAGAATCTGAAGGTAAGAGCCCCATAGTGTTGGCACACTGTTTGGGGGATAAGCAGTCATTCCGCGATGAGCAAAAAAGCCAGCATCCGGTGGCTTCGACACATCGGGAAACAAAAGTGCTGGGCGAGGACTGGTTAGAAGTACTTGGCGGCTTGTCATGGATATGTGCTGGGCATGTCACGGGGCAGGTGCCAAACAAAAACATAGTGACGGCGCCTCTACGCGCCCCTGCGTTTTTGCAGGTTTCAGGGTATTGGGGTGGGTGGGGGTGGGTGGGTGGTGGGGGGGGGGGGGTGGGGGGGCGGGGGGGGGGGGGGGGGGGGGGGCGGGGGGGGGGGGGAGGGGGGGGGGGTGGGGGTGGGGGCGGGGGGGGGGGGGGGGCGGGGGGGGGGGGGGGGGGGGTGAATAAGAACGTCATTCATACTGCGTCCATGCCCAAAACACTATTTACAGCGTTTTCGCCTCTTTCTACAACATACTGCACAAGGATTTGGAACAAGAAAATCTATCACAAGCGTCCATGCCTTTCGCGACCATGCCCTAAACACTGGTATTTACAGCGTTTTATGCCCAAAGGCACTGGTATTTACGGCATTTTCACATACTGCACAAAGAAAGTGGAACAAGAAACTCTGTCACAAGCGTCCATGCCTTTCGCGACCATGCCCAAAACACTGGTATTTACAGCGTTTTATGCCCAAACAACCGGGCTTTACTGCGTTACCCTGCAAGCAAAAAACCTTCAACATAAAACCCATGACCCGGCCTTCAAATCCCAAATCCTTTAAACTCAGCCTTCATCCTCCAACACTCTCTCTAAATATTAGTTTTGTTCTGCAGCCTCTTCTAAAATCAGCTTAAAACCCGAGCGAAAACACAGTTAGGCCCAAAGTTTACTTCACCCTCTGGTGTTTCGCGCACTTGCCTCAACAACAATTTTACTTCAAATTGCGCTCCCGCTTGGTTTTCGCGCGTATCCATGCAAAACGCCTCAGTCTCAAATCACTAAAAACGCAGGGTCGCGCACAGGCGCCGTAACCAAAACATGCCTTTTCGGGCATCGCAGTGGCATCGGCAACCCTATGCTCCGGGCTTTGCCGTTAGCTAGTCGCGGTGTTGGAGATGCGCTCTCGCCTAGGAGCCGTGCGCAGCGACGTCGCCATCCTCGTAGCTTGTTGACTGTCGGCGCTTTGGGACGTCCGGAGCTCTCGTGGCTCGAAAGTCGTCGACTTTCGTAGTACAAGCGGAGTGCACAGAGCACGTCTCTGACGAGCGATGTTCTATCATGCTTCGAATTTCTTCGTTTCTCCATGTGGTCTCTCGCTGTTTGGGGTCTACGCTGGCAGAACTAACAAGATCTCGGCCTCATACATCCTTATACCCGTATACAACTACTAACACCGAGTACAACCCGAAGCCTATGGCCCCTCAACCAAAAGGCCTTTCTGCACTTGTCCCTGCGGAGTGATGCCCATAAAGGCTTTGCAAAAGGTCAAAGACTACAAGACCCACGACGTGTCTTGACGAGCCCGCGACATGCTTATGACATACGCATGCAACCCCCGCGACATACCCCCTTGTGTTGACCCACAAGCCGTAACAGGGATGTGATAGGGTTCATTCATCGCGCGACTGAAGCCCGTCATGTCTTGTGCATGATGCCAGGAGTGGCAGCCGACATCACCGGTATGGCGACGCCCGAACGAGCCGACTTCGCCCATCAGACTCTGGCGGGAGCAGGCGCGCTCGCAAGGCACTCCCAAGGCACTTTCGAGGCGCTCGCGAGGCGTGCGCTATGCACTTGTAACGCGAGTGCAGCGCGCTCGCACGCCGCGCGCGCTCCCCACGCCTCCCCCCCAAGCTTCGCTGTTTCGTGTTTTCGCTCTCGTCAGGCCTGGCATTTCGAAGACCGCGAGGGCCGTCTGGAAAATGACGGACAGACGTTCCAGGTTTGTGAGCGACTGCCACGTTTTCGGGGATCGTCGTAGGTGGCATGAAGAAACCCCGCCAGGCAAGAGATCTCTGGGACTGGAAGAACCCAGTCACCAGCTATGCCCTGGAGATCCGCAATTTCAAGAAAGTTATCGAGAAGATTAAAGAAGGCCGAAGCCTGCCAGCCTGCCAGCCTCTTCCATTCGTAGACTCGTTGTTTTGGTAGCAAAGTGTGCAGGAGGTGAGGGCATGTCAATGGCGTCTTCGTGTGCGTCCGGTGCTTCGTCGCCGGCCTCCTCTACAGCGTGCCCAGCTTAGAGCGCGATACCGAAGAGGAACAAAGCACCCTACGTACCCTGTGACCAAAGCCGGATTGCAGGTCTAGTTGAGATGCTCCGGCTTTCCTGGCGTGCGCTCCTTTTGCAGGGTTGCTCAAAGCATGCAAGCATTCGCAGAAGCGTTCCGTCCATGGCTTGGTGGCCAGCATGGGCCTTCTGAGAACAAGTTTGGCACACAGCGTGCCGAGCCATCTGCGATGGGGAGGTCCTGTGCACATCAAGCTGACCCGTGAAAGCGATGGCCCATGAGCGCTGGCCCCAAGTCCCAACGTTGAAATGAGCACCTCGGGCTTAGGTCCCCGGGCACAGGGGACCTGCGCCCAGTTTGCGCATCCTTGCTGTCCAGTCAATGCTAAGGAATGCTTCAACCTGGCCGAGCACACGAGCAAGAGGCGTTGCCCACGTGATCTCACGCGGGTTCTGCCAAGAGAGCACCGCACGCAAGCTGGCAAGGCTCCGGATCTGACGGCCATGAAGACTGAGTCCAAGTGCGGATCCTGAGCCGCCGTGTCGATGGGAATGGGCCCTGGGAGCCAGCACGAGCGAAAAAAGGAGCAAACAGACAGCGGCTTCGAGCGTCCCATTTACATCTGCTACTACTGGTGCTTGTACTAGTTCTCACAAACAAAACATCAAAGTGCGGTGTGTCTGCGTTCGCTGTCCCTGCTGCGGTCTGCCGCCCTGGCTCAGAGGGTTTTTTATGCTTCGTGTCTGCAGCATGTGGGGACCGGGCCTGGTACTAAGTCCACTTGGTGCTTTTCAATGTGTTTCGGCGTCAGTCATCCTAGAAAGTAAGTTCCGACGCACGTAGTCACGCCTCATGCAGTACCAGCGAAGCCATTTTTGTTTACCACACACACACACACCCCCCTCAAAACTGGCCTTTCCATATGACCAGGCTTCAGTTGCGGTGCCCTGGCTCTGCGGGCCAAGCCATCTCTTGATTATGGCCGCGTGCTTGTCCCACTTCAAAGAATCACACCACATGCTATGCAAGCTGAGAAGACTTTTCCAGTTGAGCGACTCCGACGAAGACTCGGAGGACTTCTTACCAGCTGCATCGCAGAATGCAGAGGACAAACCGAAGCCTCATGCCGCTCGCCTTTGCACATTTGTCCTCGTTTGATCAAAGTCCTGACCAAATGTCTGAGCTAGCCGTGAACATACCGAACCCTTTCAATTGCCGGCTGGGGTCTAGCTTCCCCGTGCGCAAGCTTGGCACATATCCATGCGCATGCCGCAGTGGGGCAGATGGCCTTTTGTTGGGGGGCTGATTAAATGTGATCGTAGCCAGGAGCCAGCTTGCTCGGAGGCCGAGGCCCAAGACGCATTGGGTTCTTGGACTCCACAATCGCAGTCAAACTTTGGTGCCCCGTGCTCCGAGGAAAACTGCGAGGAGTCGGGCCTAGACAAGTTGGGACCTTGTCATTTGTAGAAGCAATGCAAGAAACTGCAAGAAGGCAAGAAACCATATTAACAGAGTCGTGCGGCTTTGCACATTGCCCTTTGCTTGTGTTCTTTGCGGCATGCTGCGCGTATGGCTTAGGCAGCAAGCTACCCGCAGCCCCCAGCATTCGCAATTCCCGGCAGATGGCGGCTATTCAGACGGAGGAAGTGATGCACTTCAGTCTACTGGAGAAGAAGACATTCCTGGAATTCGTCCCCAGCCAGGCTGACCATTTGAGACGCTCCGCTAGTCTGCCGGTGCTGAGTTCAGAGGCAAACAATCCACAGCTGGGCACGCTCGACAAGCCAGTGCCAAAACTTGCTTGGGTGCCTGTGCGGGAGCACATCAGCGAATGTATAGAATCAGATTCCTCACCAGGCGCCGAATCCATGCTGGAGTCTTGTACAGCTTGGCCACTGGCATCCACACATGGTGGCAGTGAGGAGAGTCTGCTGACGTTTTTCGTTGACGACTCGATGCATGGAAGCTCATGGCTTGACGAAGATACCGCACATGACGGTAAAGGACCAGAGACAGGCCGCCAGATTTCGGCTGCGGGCCCCATGCCTGCTTCGCCACGATCAGCTGCTAGCGATGAAAGTGCGACCGCTGCAGGAAGTACTTGGCAGGCATCGGTGTCTGTCGGATCCGCCCTGCATGAGGCCAAGCTTTGCAAACCTTGTGCCTGGTACTGGCGACCTGGCAGCTGCACGAGGGGTGCAGACTGCTTGCACTGCCATCTTTGCCTCGACGGAGAGCTTACAAAGCGGAGGTGCAAGAATCGCAAGCTGGCAAAGCTGCACAAGAAGCAGAGCAAAGCTGCCAGTCGTGGTACGAAGTGCACGCCGTGACACCTGTCACACGTAGTGCCTTGCCGCAAGATCTGCTTAGAGCCCCTTTGATGCTTTTCAATGTTCGAGCCTTGGGCACTGCATCTCTGCCTTGCCATGCCTGTGCGCCCAGCACTGGGTGAAACCGCAGCAGTTGGGCGCAGACTGTGCCTGGAAGGCATGTATAGAGCCCCTATGTTGGAAACTAGGGGCATGCGAGGTGTACAGGAGCCGCTTGCAAACTCCACGAACATGTGTTGAGTGAGTTTGCTGTGAGCTGCGTGCCAACCCCTGCATGAACATGGCAATGTACAGACCTGCCGCAGCCTCTTGAGCGGGGCAAGGTACAAAGCATGGGATGCTGGACTTTGATGGACTCGAAAACATGCCGAGGTGCACCTTACACTTGCTAGAACCAGGGCTAGCTTTACTGCCGGCTTTAGTGTCTCCTCTAGGCCCTGCAGGCGACTGAAAGAGCCGGAGTGACTCTGCAAGTGGGCTTCGTTTCCGCCCCAGCGGTGTCAGCAGTGTCAGCAGACAGGCACCCTGCAACGCAGCACCACAAACGTCACAACGGACGGGGCGGTCAGTGTACGTACTTCGGCACATTCCCACGTCGACACCACCGAAGCGATCAGACGTGGCACCCGCAGCGGAAGCTTGACAATTGAGAAAGCGATGTCAGGAAACGTTTGTCGGACCTCAGCCTTGCGATAGCCGGCATTATGTCCGTACCCAAACCCTTCAAATCCCTTCGCTGGCGGTACGCTTCCGCGTGCCGCTGGAACGAATGTGAGTACTCGGAAACGGTCTGTTTCGTGGGGTCTTGGGAGGCTTCGCTGGCTGAAGCTTCAGAACATGTCTGATCATCAAGACTCTGCTGTGCCGAGGCCACCTCCGGAGGATCCAGAAGAGCAGGTGTGCCTCCTCTGTATGCTGCAATGGCCGCGTCTGTCTGCCACTTGATTGATTCTAGATGTGCTTCTGCTGAGCCTCGCAGGTCATTTCCCGAATTGCACGACTTTGGCGGCAACACGTCAGCGAACAGAGTTGGATTCTTAGGTGAGTGCCAGTTTCCGGCCTTAAGGGAATGCAGTAAGGTGTTGGAACTGCCACAAAGCCATTTGGCCCAGATTGCCAGCAATGCCGAACATCGTGCCAAACGTGAGCCCAAGCTTAAGCCTGCCTGGAGAAGTGCTGCAGCCGGTTCTGGAGTTCTTGGGCACCAGCCTCACAGCCGCCCTTCCTTGTTGCCGCGGCACGTCGCACGCAGCCCTCCAAGGACAGAGCGGGTACTGAAGAGCGGTGCCAATGTTTGGAAAACCTTAACGAAGCCCACACAGACCACTCGGCTATGGACTTGTGAGTTAGCATCGTCCAAATCAAGTTTGTACTCGTAGGCTTTGTGTAGGTTTGTAGGTGATGCTGCAGCTTTTCGACCATTGACATTCTGCCCATCAGTGCCGAGTCCTGGTGGAAGTACTGGAAGTCGGGATCAGACCCTTTGCTGCACTGCAGCATGGTGCAACAAGGGTTGGGTGAAGTTACGTGACCATTTTGCGTCTCAGATTCGTGCTTCGTTCATGCGCTCTTCACTGTGCTCTTCACCAGTGCTTCACCTGGACGAGGCTTGCAAGATGCGCACGCGTGGCTCGACGGCATCGTCCGGATCTCAGCTGGCGGGATGTGGCCAAGGCTCGCGGCTTAAACATCATGAAAAGGTGTTTGGGGGAGCGGGATTCCCTTCATCCACGATGCTTCTCTCGGGAGGTGATGGCAACACTCGAGCGAGGACCGCTTTGGTGGTCAGAAGTGCCGTGCATTGGGGCTGTGACATCCCCACGCCAGGGGCTTGCAGTATGTGGTGCGCCAGGGCCGTACCTTGGCCAGCCTCCACAACAAACCCTGCAGGGCCTGTTATCCCTCATCCCCTCATTGTCCCTCATTGCCCCTGGCTGAGGCAAGAAAGAGCGGTCCTGTTCGGTGGAAACACTTCGGTAAGAGTAGCTGGTGGCTGGCAAGCCTCTGCAGCCCTTTTTGCAGTGGACCTCCCTCCAGATGATTATGGTCGCGCAGATGCCCTAGTTGCATGGTAACTTGCCTACCTTGGCGTAAGGAGCATTTGGCCGACTGCGATTAAACCACCACTTAGGCGAGGTTCACTAGCTTTGAGCCCAGCAGTCCTTCTACTCCGTGGCCCTGCTCTCGCTGGGGAGCAACGCTGACAAGGACATGTCAAACTGAATCTGAAGGGGCCGCTCTGCTTTGGGGTGGCTGGAGCCGTGAAGGTGACACAGACATTCCATGGATGCTGCGCTTTAAGCAAGATGGCCCATGCTGGAGCGAACTTTGCTGTGAGAATCGTCCTCCTGCGGGTGCCTTCCACACAGCTACAGGTGCTAGGGCTGCTAGGATGGGGATGCTGGTGCAGACACGAAAACGGGGCTCTAAGAGCCGAGGTAAGCTAAGGAAATTCATTGGTTTTTTGCCAGGGATGTATAATTAGAGATTGGAAGAGATGGCTCTACAGCTGTCTCATTTTCTCACTCTCTCACACTTTCTCGCACTCTCTCACGTTCTCTCACTTTGTCTCTGACTCTCTCTATCTCTCACTCTGTCTCTCACTCTCTCTATCTCTCACTCTGTCTCTCACTCTCTCTATCTCTCTCACTATCCCTCACTATCTCTCACTATGTCTCACTCTCAGTCTCACACTCTCACACACTCTCACTCTCGCTCTCGCTCTCTCTGTCTCTCTTTCTTTCTCTCCCTTTTTCTCTTGTAGGCACTAACAGGCCGGGTGGGGGCAGAACAATTTGTGCAGGCCTTCCGGACAACAAGAGATTAGCACTGGTTGGCGGGCTGGGCAATGGCAGTTCGCGGGATGCCGCGGCTTGGCCCCTCGCTAGTACTCGCGGTGCTACTAGAGTGCACTAGAAGGGGCTATGCTCATGCTGCTCATGCTTTCACAGCTGACTTTGTCGAGGTATGGACCTTTGATTCCTCGACAGAAAGATTCCACAAGCTTTGTGATGGTGGTCCAGCTCCAGCCGGGCACGTGGCCGCCGCTGACTGCGAAGCCCAGCGCTTGGTCGTCTGCTTCGGCGTCAGGCGGTCTCAGCCAAGTGCTTAGTTTGACTGCTTATCTGTTCCTGTGTGGTACTCCGCCACGGGCTCATTTTGCGCGGCGGCATGGAGAGGTTGAGCAGCCTTTACGCTCTAAGGCCCTTCATAGAGGACAGCTTCATGAAGACCACCAGTGTGCTGGATTTGCGCATGGGGCGCTGGGATCCCGATGCATGGAATGGTCTATGGCCAGATGAGCAAAGCCCTGCTCCAGCCACAGCAGCTCCCCCAGCACGGCGGAACGCTGCCGCTGCATCGCTGGGGCACAGAATCATCGTGTCAGGTGGCTACAACGACGAAGAGTTCACATCTCTCGAAGACACATGGTCCCTGAACATGCGCAGTGGCGTGTGGACGAGGATTTCAGAGCAAGGAGCGCCACGGATGGAAGGTCACAAGGCGATCCTCACTGGCCTAGATTTGTATACCTTTGGTGGGCACTCGCTGTTGGGCCAATTTCCTCGCCCCACCATCTCTGTACATAGACTAGCTCTGGGGAAGGCTGACCCTTTGCATTCTGAGACTCATGAGTGCAGGCAGCCTGAGAAGGGCTACCCTTTGCAGGGTCACCCTTTGCCAGATGAAGATTAAAACCTTGCACATGATACCTAAGACCTAAGCGCTCACATCATGGTGCTGCAGTCCCAAGTGAGGTCATGCTGATAGTGATGGGCCGGACCTTGCCTGTCACCCAGGGTGTGGGATCGAACGAGCACAACAGAGTTCAATAGAGCACGTGAGTTGTGCTCAGTCGGACCGCCTGGCAGCCTCGGCAGAGTACCGACGGTGGGTCCGGCTCTCAGAGCAATGATGGCCGGTGCGAAACGGGTTTTTCTTTGCAGGTTGTTTTTGTTCGCTGCTCCTGCGAGGTCAGAGAGATCGATGCCGGACTTGAGTGTCGCACCCAGGGTCAATCTTGCTGCGCCGGGTGAACTTCTCTGCTTTGATGCTCTTGGCATTGTGTCCTCGCTGTGCATGGACAAAGGTCTGGCCAGGTGCGTGGGGGCAGTTCAGCCACTCTCCGTTTAAGCAGCATTCGGAAGGCTGTCCATGCGCCAGGCGGCTCCTTCGTTCACGGAGCTTTGGATAGAGCTCAACAAGTTAGAGCCCTCAGTGGCCGAGCGGTGCCTTAACGCTCCTCGTCTCGTGTGCTCACAGCTTTTTGGTTTTGCAAGCCGAGGCGGCCAGCTGTGCTGAAAGGACGTTTTCTTCAGATGGCTCCACGTGTTTTCCTGTGATGTCAAATGTCGTGTGAGGCAGCGAGGCATGGAACTTTAGCGCCCGCTTTCCCTGTCTTTGCCTGGTACTCGTACATCTCGTACTAGTACACTGTCTGCGTGACGAGGCGTAAGAGGAAGCGTGTGAATCGTCGGAACGTTGCCGTGTCGAGCTCCCAGTAGGATCTGAAGCTGCGCGGCGGTCGCCCAGCACAGATCCGAGAGCGAGGTCCGTCCGAGAGTTTCTTCGCATCCACCACATGCGCAATGCGCGGGCAGATGGCAGGTTCGATCGTTGGTCACAGGACAGGAAGCCCCAACCTAAGAGCCGCATCATCTTCATGAGCGAATGAGAAACCTCGGAAGTGTAAGGCCCAGGTGGCATTCGGCGCAGGAGGCGCCCGGAAGCCCGAGTGAATTGCAGGAGACGCAGCAACGGTGCAAACCATGCGGCGTTACGTGTGGGTTGACTGGACGGAAGACACGCACCGGGCACCGTCGAAATCCAAAGCAAAGCCGCGACTCGCAGCGACTATTGTTGTCCAAAGCTTGAAGCCTGGATGCGGCGGATGCGGTTTCCCCTGCAGGCTTTGGAGGTGCTCCTTGACAGTCTAAAGCAGCTCGAGGCAAGTGAATGGTGGATGTACTTCGATAGTTGTGCTGAAACCGTTTTACTCCGGTTCGGTAGGTGCACCATGGTAGCCTGTTATACGCTAAGTCTCGCACTGCTTCTTGGGCTCTGTGTTCTCATGTTGGCGTCTTGTTGCCCCTCCCAGCCAAACGACACTTGATACCAATCAGACACCCCGCCGCAGGCATCTCCTAAGAGGAAACAGGAGCTGTCAGCATGCGAGCTCTCAGCCACTATGAGGCTGGTCCATCATTCTGAGTTTGCCGCCGTGCTCATGCGAGAACTCATGGTTGCTCTAGGTTTGGAGACGAGATGCCATTGATGCCCTTCCCACCAGAGTTCACGCTGTTGTGCGCAGGAAGCGCAGCCCCGACTTCGCAATAAAGGAGTCTCCCTTTGAAAAGCTCGGGAAGCTGTCATGCACCCGGAAACTTTCGGATTGTAGCTTGGTGTTGATGTGCCGAGCTTGTGGTCGTTGTCCACGACTTGGCTTGAAAGACTGTCAGGCTGCAGCTGGCTGCACAGGAAGGGGCGACGAGTATTGATTTCAAGCCTTCCAAGAGTGCAGCAGAGCACTTCTTGTGGGGATAGGACGGCTGGATCCGCCTAACATGGTCGGGTGACACGATGTCTGCACGGAGCCCAGTCCAGTACGCAGCGTGAATTGTGCCTCCACCATGCCACACCAAAGGTGCAGATTCTGGAGCTCCCTGCAAATGGTCGAGCTCTCGGTGCACTGGATGAGTGCACTGGATGAGTCCTTATGTTGGCAAACCTTCGGCAAGCGAGAGTTCAGGGGTCACGAAGCTGGCAGATGCGTGGGAACGCGAGGAGGCGCTCTGGGTCACTGCATCCCACTGATTCTGTGGTGCTGTAAAGCATGTTGGGCCTCGAACAATCGGCAGCCACCCGGCTAGGATGTCGGCTTCCGACTGGAGCCAGCGAGACAGACAGCGATTCTGAAGGAAGTGAATCGCGTGCGAAGAGTAGTGCACGAAGAAAGAGCCGAACGAGGGGTGTGCAACTTGGCGCCGCGGCCCCAAATTGCAACAATTACGGCCTCCACTCCTGGGCACTTCTGTCAGGGTTTTACTGTGTTTTACTTGAAGCCATGTTCGGAACCACACCAGTGAGAGGGCATTCTGCCATGTGGTTGTTCCGTCTGCGTTGCTTGAGGCTAAAGCCAGCGCCTGGTGCGGACCCTCTAGCTGACTTTGCTGCCGAGGCCTTCCAGCTTTACCTTGTCCGGGTGTCCTACTAGCTGACACAGAGCCGGTTGACACGTGTCAGGGCAGCGTCACCTACCTCAGACAAGCCGTGGCAAGGCTGTCAGCGTGGCGGACTGAGAACTCTTCCCAGGAGTCCTAGAGGTCTAGGAAGCTTCGCTGGAGCAAGTCCTTTGAAGGTCTGAGCGGGGAAAGCTAAGACCTGTAAGCCCCGAGCGTGGCTGGCCCAGAGGCTTTGTCATTGTTCCTTGCCTTGCACGTGATATGCCTTCTGGATGCGACCTGCTTCGCTGACATGGCCGGAAAAGCTCAGAAGCGTTCCAAACTTCAAATGCAGTCATTTCTGTGTTGCCTCCAAGCAGGGTTCTGAGACTGGACCCTGGACTTTGTATGGTCGTGAAGTACTTGCCATGTTAAGTTAAGACAGTCAGAAGTGAAGCAACCTCCACATGCTGCCATGCCATACCAAGCAGATGTCATCGGGCCCTTTGGCTAAACACAAGCGTTCCATCGCGGCGAGCATGTGACGTTATTGTGAGACTTTGAGACTTTGTCTCCCTGACCTGAAGGCATGACCAAGAATCGCTTTTCAGCCCTGTGATCTTCCAGATTCGTGTGTCCAGCGGCACCGGCGTCCACTTCGTATGGCACAGATACCATGCCTTCAAGCAGTTGGCTGCATACTTGCAACATCGCTTCCCAGCGCTGCCCACCTTGCAAGGAGGCCAGATGTAGGGCTCAGGGCGTGGTCTTCGTTAGGTCCCGTTAGGTTTTTGTTTAAGTCCCGGAGTGCCTTGCCCGAGAGAACTCTGCAGCCCACCCCCAAATGAATTCGGCGGAGAATTCCGCAGAGTCTGGAGTCCCCAAGAGAATCCCTCAGAGAACCCCGCACAGCATCTCGAGCCTGTGGAGTGCCTGCCCCCGTGTAGAGAATTCTGCAGAACACTGCATCCCCGATCCCGCACCAATCTGTTTGAGGGTGGGGAAATGTGGGGAAGTTCGGAGCAATTTCAGTACAATGCTGTGCGCCCTCAGGTCACCTTTGGCAAAAAGCCGTCAACTCTGCGGGCTTTCTGCGAGCTCGACAGCGCTGTTTAACGGGCTTCCTTGAAGCGGCCCTGGCTGCTGATGCTGCAGTCGAGGAAAGGGAGCGCAGAAGAAGGAAGTTCTGAGGGATGCTAGCCAAGCCCGGCCTGGCAGGATGTCATCCTGCGTGAATTCCTCGGCCTCGACGAGGTTGCAGATCTGGAAGCTACTGTGTGCTCAGCCTGCAGCCTGCAGTCTCCCCCCCCCCCCCCCCCCCCCCCCACCAAAAAAAAAAAGAAGGAAAAACACACACACACAGACACGCAGACACACAGACACACAGACACACAGACACACAGACACACAGACACACAGACACACAGACACACAGACACACAGACACCCAGACACGCAGACACGCAGACACGCAGACACGCAGACACGCAGACACGCAGACACACAGACACACAGACACACAGACACACAGACACACAGACACACAGACACACGGACACACAGACACACGGACACACAGACACACAGACACACAGACACACAGACACACAGACACACAGACACACAGACACACAGACACACAGACACACAGACACACCAGACACGCAGACACCCAGACACGCAGACACGCAGACACGCAGACAGCGACACGCAGACACGCAGCACGCAGACACGCAGACACACAGACACGCAGACACGCAGACACGCAGACACACAGAATCACAGAACACACAGAACACAGACACCACAGACCACAGGGACACGCAGGCACGCAGGCACGCAGGCACGCAGGCACGCAGGCACGCAGGCACGCAGGAACGCAGGCACGCAGGCACGCAGGCACGCAGGCACGCAGGCACGCAGGCACGCAGGCACGCAGGCACGCAGGCACGCAGGCACGCAGGCACGCAGGCACGCAGGCACGCAGGCACGCAGGCAAGCAGGCACGCAGGCACGCAGGCACGCAGGCACGCAGGGCACGCAGGCACGCAGGCGCAACAGGGCAAGCAAGGCACGCAGCACGAGGCACGGGCAGGCACGCAGGCACGCCAGGCACGCAGGCACGCAGGAACGCAGTGCACGCAGGCACGAAGGCACGCACGCACGCACGCAGGCACGCAGGCACGCAGGCACGACGGCACGCAGGCACGCAGGCACGCAGGCACGCAGGCACGCAGGCACGGCAGGCCGCAGGCACGCAGGCACGCACGGCAGGCACGCACCCACGCACGGCACGCTACGGCACGCGCACGCGAGCACGCGCACGCGCTGCGCGCACGCGCGCGCTCCTTCCCACGCGCGCGCGCCCCCGCGCGCGCGCCCCTACCTGCGCGCGCGCCGCTGGCGCGCGCCCGCGCGGCCCCTCGCGCCCCGCGCGCCCGCGGCAGGCACGCTGGCACGCGCCCCGCGCGCACGCGACACGCGCGCACGCGCGCGCGCGCGCACGGCGCGGCACGCGCCACGCACGCAAGCGCACGCGCCGCACGCGCACGCCGCACGCGCCCTCGCGCACGCGCACGCGCACGCGCGCCACAGCGACACGCGCGCACGCGCAAACGGCACGCGCACGCGCACCCCGCGCGCGTTACGGCGCACGAGCGCAAAGCGCACAGCAACACGCGCACACGCCACACGCGGCCACGCACACGCACCGCCACGCACCCGCAAGCACCACCGCACGCACGGCCGCACGCGCATACACCCACCCACGCACTCGCACCCACGCACACGCACACGCACGCACGCACCCGCACACGCACGCACGCACGCACGCACGCACGCACCCACGCACGCACGCACGCACGCACGCAGGCACGCACGCACGCACGCACGTACGTACGTACGTACGCACGCCCGCGCGCGCGCGCGCGCAGACACGCGTGCGCACTACGGCTTCATTTCCATCTTCATTTCAGCTGCGGTAACGTCGTCTACCATGGCCTACGCATGGTCAGCGCTCCTAACTGATTCAAGACCTTCAAGCTGCATACTTGAGCCGCATATCACAAACAAAGCTTGAGCCTGGAAAAAGAGCCCTGATCACTGACGAGAAATCTTTCCGCACTGTAACCGGCCAGCGTTTGATTGAGCGTGCTCGGTAAGATTAGAGTCACGAAGTGCTCATCCCTGACGCTGTCTCATACTCAAGTGCATGACGAGTTAGGTCTGCCATGAAGTTAGAAGCTCTGCTGCTGACACTGGTTAGCCGTATCTTGGAAGTGGGGTTCAAGGAACCTTACGAAAAGTTCTCTTGGGCAAGGGGTCAGACAGCTGTGACGAAGGAGTGCCATTGCATCTGTGATTGCCAGTGCAGTGACGCATTGAATCCGATTTTATTGCTGCTTGCACTGATTTGCCCTGCGATCAACCTTGTCTGCTTCTGCAGAAGACGCGGCTTTGTGACAGCAGAGCAGAGTCATGACAACCCACGACGGCGTGGCCGAGGACTTGTTACAATGCCTTCCAGGTGACCGAGTAGCTGTTTTCTACAGTGACGATACTTACTGGCATGAGCGAGTCTTGATCTGGAAGGCGAGTGACACTTCTTGGTATGTTTTGACTCCTGACATGGACCTTTATGAAGAGAGCTTTACATTGGTTGGCGACGACGGTCCTGTGAAGATGAAGGTGAAGGGGAAGCATTTTGAATATTATTCAAGACTGCGTGCGCCAGTGTATAGGTTTTCTTCTGGCTTGACCGAAGAGGAGATGAGGACCTACATCGAGAAGGCGCTAGACGAGCTGAACATGGAGGTCGTGCCTTTAGATGGCTGGAGGCCAAAAGAGGTGCGTGTGGGTCAGAGGGTGGTCCCAACCTCGGTTCTTCTTGGCAGGAGATTCGTGCCCAGGCGCGTTACCAGGCCGCCCGGCGGAGCTGCGTCAAGAGGTGTGGTGGACCAGCCGGAAAGAGCCACAGAGTCTTCAGCAGATCTGCCTCTAGGGCTTTTGCCCCTCGAACCAGCTCCTGCAGGCTACATGTGGGTGTGGTTTCCCCCCCTCAGACCCGGAGCTGTCGACATTCCTCGGGAGGTGGCGGTTGTCGAGGGTCAGGGGGTTCGAGCAGGGGAAGATTTGGGTCTCATCAAGCGGGGTGACGGCTGGCTTCCTTTGACCTTAGTCGCCATTGACCAGGCTTCGGAGATTTTTGGCTGCTACTTGGGGCGACAGAGGACCTCCGAGGCCTTACATGCCGATGAGGGCCTACCTTCGGCCAGGAATGCGAATGAGGAAGGCGCCGTATCTTCTACTGAGCCTTTGGATGCAAGGGTCCTTGGTGTGGATTACAACTCCGTAAACGAAAGACACAAACATTGGCGCGAGGTTGTCAATGAGTGCAAGCAGTATGAGTTCCCCGACTGGCCTCTTGAGGGACCGATGAGCGTGGGCCACCTTATTCGACATTTCCATAGCTTTGGAGGTGATCCCAAGAGATGGCTCCTTGAATGGATGCGTTCCAAGAACATCGCGGAGAACGACCGTGTGGCTCACGAGATGCGATGTTTGGTGGACGTCATGTTCACAGCTGGTTGTTATGACCAGTTGAATCTATGCTCCCTCGCGAGCATAGAAGTGGTCGGGCGTCGAATGCAAGCTATCATCGACGCCTACACCTTGGGAGGTGCAGCCGGGCCTGACTGGCAGAACGCCAAGGTTATCGCCGGTTACCGCAGTGCAGATGATGCGGTGTCACCAAGCTTGCGGTCGTGGGCAGCCAGGCGCACCAAAGAAGAAATTGACATGGCATCTTCTCGTGCTAAGATCCGTGAGCATCGCAAAGGCCTGCTGGTGACCGATGAGGCTGCAGGTGCTGTGGCAGACGGCGTGTTGCCGACAACCGGGGCAAAGGCCAAAGCCAAGGCGAAAGGCCGTGGCAAGGGGCTGACTGCCCCGGATGGTCAGTGAAGAGTGTGGCGAGGGATCGTGCCCGGTCGGTCCCTCTCATGGCCATCAATCCGGGGATGCACGTGCTGCTAAATCCCAGTTCTCCCGTGACATGTTCCCCCTTCCTGTCCCACCTGAGGTGCGCCGGGAAAAAACTTTGGGGAGACGGGTGGCGCAGCGGGTGGCCAGACATATCCAGCAGACAACCAAGGAGCGCGAGGCCGTGAAGGCTCTCAACTGGATGGCTGGCTACAAGGAAGAATTTGAGAATTCACAGTTTTCACCAGATGCTCT